AGTACAGGCCAACAACTTGACGCACTTTAAGCAGTGCAAGTTCTTTACGACTGAAGCAAACAACGTATTTCCCACGTCATTTACATATTATCATCAAAGACTTCAAGCTGCAGTTTCAGTAGGTTCTCTGACTTGGATTCAAAGGCAGAAGAAGTGAGACTGCTTCAAAGCCCATTTGAAGCAAATGTGGCCAGTGGCAAAGATGAACTGCAGCTGGAGGTCATTAAATTGCAAGGAAATGACTTCCTAGAGACACGTTCAAAGAAGGGAGATTAATTTTCATAAGTTTTTGCACTAGGAAGACTTTCCTAATATTAAAAGTTCTACATCAAGGTACTTTCAAATTTTGAAACAACATACTCTACCTGTGTGAACAAACATTTTCAAGAATGAAATACGTGAAGAACAATTTGAGAGCAAACTTGGACCTCGAGTGTGTTATTGACCCCCGATAGTGTTTCTTCCTGACTTTTTTCTCCGTGGGGGGTGGGGTGGGGGGTAGGGGGGTGGACACTTGAAATTTGTAAATATTTCTATATAAATTATATTTCGTGGGCAGGGGGGCGGTAGACGTTCTTCGGGAGGGGAGGGCGCCCCCTCCCCGAAGAGATGCCTTAAAGAAACTCTGGCCCCCGAACTGATATTTCATTGTTAATGCGGCCCTCGGACTGAAAAGTTTGGAGACCCCTGGTCTAAATTGTTGTTTAACATGTTCTGTAGGTGTGACCTCTAAAGTATGCAGTGTATACATGTTTTATGGTGAAATGTTCCAGATAAAATTAACTGGTTGCAGTTCTGTGTTCTACATATGTATACTACATATCGATGGTCTCGGTCGCAAACCGTCTAACTTAAAAAAATTCGATTTTCTTTTTTTTACATAAATCAAAAGCCAATATGATTCCCCATAATGCCTGAAAATATTAGAAAAATCTGTAGAATGATTATTGAGATATAATCATTTGAACAAACCGCCTATTATTTCTAGCGCTAAAAATCTCGGCGCAAAACGAATATCGCTATATTTGTCAGTAAACTTTTGATCGGGAACGCAGTCGCACGCCGCAATCACACGATTTTACGGCACAGCAGTCACAGAACTTATAGGTAGGATATTTGATTAATTATATTCAGATTTCTATTACATTTTATCATTTTAAAGAATAATAAACAAATAGTATTTGTTTAATATAGCCTATTTCAAGATTTTCAATAACCAAACTGATTTGTTTACAGTTTTTTAGGCTAACACAATACTTTGAAACTAAATCTTCATTATAGAATCTAAATATCAATCAAAACAATATTATTCGAATTATATTTCCACAATGATGTGCAATAAATTTAATTATTGTTAATTCACTACTAGCTTTAGATTGAGGGTTTAGATACGTGTTAAGAAATGTTTATATGGTAGGTTACAAAATGTTTGGCGTACATGTTCAACGACATGGTTAGTTGTCTTTAGTAAATGCTTTTATGATTAAGTTTAGAACAGACAAGCCTATCTCAACACACCAGCCTTTCTCAACATACCAGCCTCGCTCAGCATACCAGCCTCTCACAACAGACCAGTCTTACCAAACAGACCAGCCTCTCTCAACAGACCAGCCTCACTCGACAGACCAGCCTCTCTCGACATACCAGCCTCTCTCAACAGATTAGCCTCTTTCAAAAGACTAGCCTCTCTCAACATATCAGCCTCTATCAACAGACCAGCTTCTCTCAACAGACCAGCTTCTCTCAACAGACCAGACTTACCACATAACATATCAGCCTCTCTCAACAGATTAGGCTCTTTCAAAAGACTAGCCTCTCTCAACATATCAGCCTCTCTCAACAGACCAGCTTCTCTCAACAGACCAGCCTCTCTCGACATACCAGCCTCTCTCAACATACCAGCTTCTCTCAACAGACCAACCTCTCACGACATACCAGCCTCTTTCAACAGATTAGCCTCTCTCAAAAGACTAGCCTCTCTCAACATACCAGTCTTACCACATAATAGACCAGCCTCTCTCAAGAGATCAGCCTCTCTTAACAGATCAGCCTCTCTCAACAGACCAGCCTCTCTTAACAGATCAGCCTCTCTCAACAGACCAGCCTTTCTCGACATACCAGCCTCTCTCAACAGATTAGCCTCTCTCAAAAGACTAGCATCTCTCAACATACCAGTCTTACCACATAACAGACCAGCCTCTCTCAAGAGATCAGCCTCTCTTAACAGATCAGCCTCTCTCAACAGACCAGCCTCTCTTAACAGATCAGCCTCTCTCAACAGACCAGCCTTTCTCGACATACCAGCCTCTCTCAACAGATTAGCCTCTCTCAAAAGACTAGCCACTCTCAACATACCAGTCTTACCACATATCAGACCAGCCTCTCTCAAGAGATCAGCCTCACTCGACAGACCAGCCTCTCTCAACATACCAGCCTCTCTCAACATACCAGCCTCTCTTAACAGATCAGTCTCTAGCAACAGACCAGCCTCTCTCAACAGACCAGTGTCTAGCAACAGACCAGCCTCTCTCAACAGATCAGCCTCTCTCAACAGACCAGCCTCTTTCAACAGATCAGCCTCTTTCAACAGATCAGCCTCTTTCAACAGATCAGCCTCTCTCAACAGACCAGCCTCTCAACATATCAGCCTCCCTCAACAGACCAGCCTTTCTCAACAGACTAGCCTCTCAACATATCAGCCTCTCTCAACAGACCAGCCTCTCTCAACAGACCAGCCTCTTTCAACAGGCCAGTCTTACCATACAAGACACCAGCATCTGTTAACTGACAAATCGTAAAGGCACCAGCATCTCTCAACAGACCAGCCTTTAACAACAGACCAGTCGTAACATACAAAAGACCAAACTCTCTTAAGTGACCAATCTTACCATACAGGACACCAGAATATATCAACAAATTTGTCTAACCCTTTAAGACACCAGTAACTCACAAGAGACCAGTCTCTCTCAGCAGACCAGTCGTAATATACAAAAGACCAACCTCTCTCAACTGACCAATCTTACCCTCCAAGATACCAGCCTCTCTCAACACACCATTCTTATCATACAAGAGACCAACCTCTCTCTAAAGATTAGTCTTATCCTACAATAGACAAGCCTCTCTCAACACACCAGTCTTACCATACAAGACACCAGCCTTTTTCAACAGATCAGTCGTAACATACAATTGACCAGCCTCACATAACAGACATTAGACACCAACCTCTCTCAAAAAGACCAGCCTTACCATCAGAGGCGTAGCGACCCTTCCTGGCGCCCGGGGACAAACTTTCGATTTGCACCCCGCCCCTCGAACTTTTCATTTGCACCCCCCACCCTCAAACTTTCGATTTGCACCCCCCCCCCCCCTCGAACTTTTCATTTGCACCACCCTCAAACTTTCAAGTAAAATAAACTGTGAGAATAGAAAGATGTAATAAATAAAGCATAACATTCAACAGCTATCAAGGCTAGTGCTAAATACAGACATAATGAATACAGTCGAAAGCGATAAAGCCATACTAAAACATCTCTACTAAAAATTAAACTGACCCCATAATGTAGAATAAACTCAAATAATTAAAATATGAGCCCAAAACTATAATCTAAATATTATGAAGTGTTAATTATAACTTAAAAACATAAACATAACTAAATCACGTTCATTGGACAAAACGAACGAACGCGGCTGAGACCAAAATTCTCGGCTCAAAACAGCTAAGTCTGCGCGCGCACAGATAGACGGTTTGCACCGAGAATTTTAGACCGAGCAAACCGTCTATCTTTTTAAACCTGCTATAATTTTGTAAATATTAACAAAACTCATTTTAAAACGCTACAGTATAGTCGGTAGAGAGTTTCTTCGGAGATATCATTTAAAAAAAATTGTATTAGAGCGATCGAGAAGGAAATAATCAGTTTTTTGTCTCTCCTGTAAAATTTACATTTTCGGAGTTAGACGGTTTGCGACCGAGACCATCGATATGTTGCAAGTGTAAAAGTGATGTCCCCCAATGTAAGAAGGGTTGATAAGGGGCTAATAACAATACATTAACTACTTTATTAAGATGAAGTGTTTGCAACAAGGATGTGTTTTTCTGTCAGGTGTGTCACTCTGTATGCTAGGTCACAAGTCTTAACCCTCCCCTCCCACATAGTATGTTGTTACAAACTGAAACCATCCTCCACCATGTGAGTGACATCATTTATGGACAACTTGTTAAACTATACCAAAATCTAAAACTAAAGTTACATACTACTACTTACACTGACACACTTATGCTCTCTAATAGTATTTTTAATTGAAATTGTACCATGGTAAATTTACTGTAAAGTTAAAAATAAAAAGTAAATCTGATCATAAGCCATGTAATTTTTCTATTATATGACTCTAGTGCTGGATAGCTTAAGTAAAATTTGATGTATTTTATAAATTAAAATATGATGTGTTGTATAAATACATTTAATACACTGTCTTTTTACTTTGATAATTAAGTTACTTCCAATGTGTTTGAAAATGAAAAATTCTGGTTTATTTCACTTCAACTGTGGAAACCCCTGTCAGTTTTAGAGGTTTAATATATAAATTACCTGTACTCACTGAATGTTTTTTATAAGTGTTTTTATCTTACTCTATTTCAATATAGCTTGTAGTTATATTATTTATGTTTAATAGTATAATAAATAATGACCATCTAAATAATAAAGAGATGTATGATAGGTCTGTAATAACTATACTCTTAACCCAGTTCTAGACCTTTATTAAATTGTCTGGCTGGGAAAAATGCACTATGTTCTCATTATTACATCTTAGCAGCCTCTCACAGGGCTGAGTTCCAGATGTTTCATTAGAAAGCAATTATGGTAATGTGTGGTATATTTATCACACTGCTTAAAACCTTTACCTGGAGTAGGTGTATTTTTAGTTCCTTGATTTAAGAGAGATGTCTAATTTTTTTTTTGTCTGTACAGCATCTTAGGTGTATTTTTCTTTGATTACAGAAATGTTCAAAGATGAGGGCTTTTTTCATTAAAAAAAAGTCTTGTACTTTTTGGCAAAAGACTATGTTTTAAAGCTTCAGTGTAAAACAAATTGAAGTATACACCCTTTAGACATGGCCACCAATTTTGTCCACATTGGTGATATTGTATCACTGTATGCTGAAGGCAGTGTTTGTGGATTTTTGTCTACCCTGGGGTAAGTATTGCAGCTGTTGCTCTAAGTTTCAAGCAGCAAATGTTGCTACTACTGACTGTTCTGTTCTAAGTTTCAAGCAACAAACGTAGGTACTACAGACTGTTCTAAGTTTCAAGCAACAAATGGAACTTAAAATCTCAGACACACGACTTTTTCTTAGTAGCCTATTTTCAGGCATAGATAATTATGTATTTTATTTACTAGTCTACATAAAGAATTCTTTAATTTCTTTCAAGTCTTGTTGATGATCGGTCAGTGGTGCAACCTGATGCAGGTGATCTCAATAATCCACCCAAAAAATTCAGGGGTAAGTAATATTTGCTAGTACATTAAATACTTTAACTTGAGAGTGGTTTTTTTTTTCAGCTCTGTTATTTTGAGTCCTTTATATATATATATAGATAATAGTTCTGAAGTTATTTGAGTAAAGGGATTTTTTTTTTAATTCATTGGAAAATGTAATGATAATGCTATAATTACTAAAGAGATGACAGTTTTGGTTTTATTTTTAATAGATTGTCTTTTCAAGATATGTCCTATGAATCGATATTCAGCGCAGAAACAGTTCTGGAAAGCAGCAAAACAAACCTCATCAATGCCAGATTCAGTTTTATTACAACGCCTTAAGGTAATCCAACCATTTGATCTATTGGATTAGCCTATTACACTTCACTTGCTTCTATACTCAACCAATTTTTAAAATAATGGACCAGTAATTTGATTTAGAAAATTTCTTGTTAAATTTATCTAGATTGATTCCCCACTTTTTACAGTTCTTCCATAAACCTGTAAAACCTTTTTTTCCCTTCTGTTTTTCTGGCAGTATTCCTCAGCCAGATGAGCTCTTTACCTGTCTGTTTATATGTGTTCTTGTCCATTTATTTCCTTTTATAAGCACAAATATTCCATGCTCTGTTTAAAACAGCCTGAGACACATGCCCTTGTTTACTTTACCTGGAGTTCATCTGCTTTATTCTTAACAGTGCCAGAATGCCAGGATGTTTACATTAACAAAGGATATAAAAATGTTTTGGTCTATGTGTTTATGTATATACATACTCACACATAAGAAGTTTTAGATATTGTTTAAACATTTGAATCACAATTATATATTTAAGTCTGTTTTACACTGCAATATTAAATGGCATACGAAAATTGAGATACTATTTATTATGTAAGAATTTTTTTTTTTTGCATATCTATGATATTGATCATACTTTTCAGCATGCAGCTGAGTTAGAAAAAAAACAGAATGAATCAGAAATCAAGAAGCTGAAAGGCACAGAAGTTCAGTATAGCCATGTCATTCAGGTCATTAGCTTTATAACATTCTATTTTATTACCATTTTTTTTCCATTGCACATCCATTGCTTTTAAAAAAAAAATTTAAGTTTTATTCAAGTCATTGAAATAAACTGTCGATAAAAGTTTTGTTTCATATATATTTGTTCTTGTTCTCTAATTTCTAGCTACTACACGTAAAGAGTAATAAATTCTTGACTGTCAACAAGAGGTTGCCAGCCCTACTAGAAAAAAATGCAATGCGAGTAATTTTAGATAGTTCAGGAAATGAAGGCTCGTGGTTTTACATACAGCCATTTTACAAGCATAGCTCACCTGGAGACAAGGTAAGTGATTGGAGTTTGGTTGACACTTATTAAAGATTTTTGTGGGGCTTGTAGTGTGTTCTGCATTCTTCAAGTTTCATCTAAAGTGACATTAAGAGACTGATTACCCGTTGTATATGCATTGTCTTTCATTATGTTTTAACTCCTGTTTCAATGATCAATTGAAATTGTTGTGACTACAGGTTGTAGTAGGGGATAAGGTTGTTCTTAACCCTGTAAATGCTGGTCAGCCTCTCCATGCCAGTAACTGTGACCTTGTGGACAACCCTGGGTGTAAGGAGGTCAACTCAGTCAGCAGCAACACATGCTGGAAGGTCATGCTGTTCATGGACTTCAAAGAAAACCAGGAAGATGTTTTGAAAGGGGTGAGTTAGTGCACATACAAGTTTTATTCTTTGACCTTCCTGCTTTCTAACAGCGCAGATAGTTATAGTTTACTGTTAGGGAAACTAAGGCAGCTGGACAGTGCTGACCACACTCTTCCTGTATACTAAGGTCATAGAAACAGATAAACTCAACTTATCTCCCCTTGTGTCTTGGGCACAAACAGGAAAAGATAATGATTTACACTCATTTACATAATATCCTTTAAATATGGAGTAAAATATTCAACGTTGAGTCTTAAAATGATTGTTAAAATAGTTGAGATTTAAGTGATAAAATATGTTGTTGTATTATGTTTTAAAGGGTGATGTTGTGCGATTGTTCCATGCTGAACAAGAGAAGTTTTTGACTGGTGATGAGTATAAAAAGCAGCAGTATGTTTTCCTGCGAACAACTGGCAGAACCTCAGCTACAGCTGCAACTAGCTCTAAGGCATTATGGGAGGTGGAGGTAAGCTCTTAAGTTTTCTGTTTCTTCCATGTCAGGGTTGTTGAAGATTTATATATTTAGCTCATAAATATGTCTTAAAGATTGTTGTGGGGATTTAAACATTAGAATTGATCCTTATACTAGGTAATTAGTGAGAACTTTTTTTTACACAAGATCATTGGTTTCAAGTGATATGTTTTAAGAAAAAAGCAGGTGTTTAACCAACTCAATTTAGAAAATTAATTGTTTGATACTTTTAAGAGTGCTTATATTGCTATCCTGGCAGTTACCTTAACAGTAATACTGGCAGAAAACACTCTAAATAGCACTACTGCCATTTCAGCTTTCTTAGTAGGACCATTAGTTTACATTTTAGGACATAGGTAAACAGGCTTTTAGATGGTCCTGTACCTGAGTGACTCAATAACCTATGCTATCATGTTAAATAATCTCCATTGTTATTACATTAGCAAAATGAAATCTCTGTTGTCTTTTTGTTAGGCTATTTGGATTTGTTTTTGCTTGCAGGTAGTTCAACATGACCCATGTCGTGGAGGGGCAGGTCACTGGAACAGTTTGTTCAGGTTTAAGCATCTAGCCACTGGGCAGTACCTGGCTGCTGAGGTAAACCTGTGTGGTGGTCAGCTTAAACAAAAGTTACACATTAATTTTGGCTGTTTAAATACATTTTGTAGTTCAATCAATATTTATAAACCTCACTTTCAAACTGTGGTAAAAATAAAAATTGTTTGACTAGGTGGACACTGACCCTCTGCCAGATGTAACCAGGAGTAAGTTGAGAGGTCAGCCTAACATGCCAGTCTACTGTCTTGTCTCTGTCCCACATGGGCATGATATAGCTTCAATCTTTGAACTTGATCCCACAACTATGATAAGAACAGACTCGCTTGTTCCAAGGTACTCTCTCCTCTTGAACTAACATTATTATCTTTATTAATTAATATGTTCGATTGAATATGTATTTTAATAATGAGTAGTTTATTAGTTAATTAATGTATTATAAAGATGTAAGTTAGCATATTAAAAATTGCATGTTAAAATGCTTTGAATGAGTGACCGCATGGCCATCTTAATTTATTCGCTGTAAATTTCATTAAAGAAGGTAAAACATTTTAGAAAAGATTAGAAAAACTTTGTGATGACTTAATAACATCTAGAATCCTTTCCGCAGACAAACTTATGTTCGTCTCCACCATTTGTGTACTGACTCATGGGTGCACAGTACTTGTATTCCACTTGATAAAGATGAAGATAAGCCTATCATGAACAAGGTAACCAACTCTCAAAATTTATATTTTGGAACATTTTTGCTTTTTGTACTCATACATTCACTCATTTTTTCACCCTGTGAATATATAGAATATATTTTAATTTAGACTTTTATTTCCACCTTTTATACAGCAGAGTTTCTGCTGAAAAATATTTTTTCAAGATATTTGTGTTAATTTTGCCTCATAAAGAAACAAAATAAACAATGGACCATAAAATGGGCATTTTGATTTTCTTTAGCCCATCCAGAAAAAGTGTTTACTTGACTTTATATGTTGAGTTCACTAAGTATCATGATGAGAGACGTAAATGAGTTTTTATACACACAGATAATGAACAAAAGTTTGGTGTGTTTATTAAAAATGTTGCTACATTCATTATTTCCCGTCTGACACAAACATCAAATGAAACAAAATATCTCCTCAGGTTGGTTGTGCAAAAATTAAAGAAGATAAAGAAGCTTTTGCCATTGTACCAGTATCTGCCCAAGAGGTCAGAGACTTGGACTTTGCTAATGATGCTGCCAAAGTATTGACTGAAATAGCCAACAAACTGGAAAAATCATCCATCACGCAGAATCAGAGGAGGTCTGGGTTTGTACATGTTACCTTACATGTGCTGGTCGTGTGTTTTGCACCTAACTGCCATCATGTTGTTTGGTTTCTTTCAGAGTGCTGTCATTGTTTTCTAGTTTTAAACTTTCAAACATGATTTCAGGTCTGTTATTCAATTGATAACTGATGTGATCTACTTTTTGGGACATCTGGAGCTGTCCAACCAGACAGGCGATTGTTTAGATCTTATTATATCCAAACCTGACAGAGAGAGGCAGAAGCTCATTCGTGAACAGAACATACTCAAACAGGTAAACATTTAAACAACACGTCTTCTTAGATTTAACTGATTCACACATATTTTTTAATATTGGCATCTTAAAAGAAAAATGTTTAAAATATTGTTTTAAAAGAATTTTTTAAAAATCTTTTAGATCTTTAAAATTTTGCAAGCTCCATTTAATGATGTTGGAGATGGTGCTTTGATGCAGTCTATGGAAGAACTGGCAGACCAGAGGCATGCAGCTTTCAGACATTTGTGTCGCTTGTGCTATAGGTTGCTGAAATTATCATTTCAAAACTACAGAAAAAACCAGGTAGGTTAACCCTAAAAACTAGATACAGCCGATTATTTCTTTATTTTTACATTAAGTTTTGACTTGTTTCTGTTTTTGTTGTAGGAATATGTTGCAGCCAAACTCCAATTTATGCAGCGCCAGATTGGCTATGATGTATTAGCTGAAGATACAATCACAGGTTTATTACACAACAATAGAAAACTATTGGAGAAACACATCAAAAAACCTGAAATTGAAATGTTTGTCTCCTTGGTCAGAAGGAAAAAAGAACCAAGGTATCATAATTACTCAGCTTTTTAACCCCAGAAAATTGTCAAACACATTCATGCTAGTGTTTTAATAACTACACAGATTTGATGATTCTGGTCACACCTGACATAAAAAGTAATTTCGTTCTCAAATTTTGTTGCGTTAGGTTTCTGGATTACTTAGCTGATCTTTGCGTGTGCAGTAAAGTTGCCATCCCTATCACTCAAGAGCTTATTTGCAAGACTTTATTGGCTACAGAAAACCAAGATATCCTCATAGAAACAAGGTATACATTTTAAAATATATTGTACAAATAATTCTTATGTTGTCTCGCATTATGTTTATCCTAATCTATGTGGCTTATACACTGTGCCTTCATTTGGTCAGGCTGATCCGGACACAAATGGAGTATGAGATGCCAGCTGAAGAAGGAACAGTAATGACGATGGATGAAGATGATGAAGTGGTCCTGTTTTGGGACCCTACTTATGATAAGTCAAGCAACAAAGATGAAGCCAGTGTCAGACAGGTGTTGGGGTCTAGTGGAGCCGAGTACAGGTGCCAGAAAGGTATCAGAGAATTAGCCATGGGTGCGGCTGACAATATCAAGGCAGATAAAGAAATCCTCGATTATTACAGGTAAAAGAATGTTTTATTTTTGTACATTGACAGATTCATTTTTATAATTTAAAAGTTTGGCAATTAGTCAGAGGATTTTTTGAAAATTAGATGTAGACATTTAATAAGATAGCCACCATGCTTGCTACACAATTCTCTTAATATTACCTGACCCACAAAACATATTTTGTATTAATTTTAAGACCGAAAAACTGCCCAGTTACAAAACAACCTGTATCATAAATTCACAAGCCTGAATTAAATGTAGAATTATTTTTTAATTAAGCTATTATGTCCTTACAGACATCAGCTGGACTTGTTCTCACACATGTGCCTAGACAGGCAGTACCTGGCCATCAACAAGTTGAGTGAATCTTTGGATGTGGATCTCATATTGAAGTACGTTTAGTTTATATTGTTATTAACATGTGACTTGGCACAGTGCAGCCTATTTATTTTTCCTCACAGAAACTTATGTATAAGCCATACTAATGTATCATTTCATGAAGCGTAATTTTGTTTACAATTTAAATAGTCCAGACATTAATCAGCTTATTGATATTTAAATCTATTAACATATCTTATTAAAACGTGTTTCAGGTGTATGGCAGATGAATCTCTTCCTCCTGATTTGCGAGCAGCGTTTTGTCGTCTTATGTTGTCCATGCATGTGGACAGAGATCCCCAAGAGCAAGTAAAACCTGTAAAATTTGCTCGACTCTGGTCTGAGATTCCTCAAAAGATTTCTATTGAAGAGTGTGTATTATTTTTTAAAATCTATTTTGTTAAGTAGTTTTCACATCCATGGAAAGGCATTGGTAACTTACTTAAGTTAAACTTCATCTGTTTTCTTCCTGGTAATTAACTTTTTGCTTGAATCAACACTTGACAATTATTGTCTCTGTTCACATTTTTCAGTTATGAATCCAACATAACCAAGGCTCCAGAAAAGGAAGAAGTGAAGAAAAAGTTTGATCCCACTATAGCATTTGTCGAGGATTACCTTTGTAACATTGTCACTAAGGCATGGGCTGATGGTGAGCAGAACAACCTGACCTACGAGGTGAGTTTTTGGTGCTCACTCTTTGTGTGAATTGATAAGAATACCTGGACCTGAGAAAATAAGGTTTACTTTTCTAATTGACCATTGTTCAGCACATATAATTAATTGCCATCTCCCAGCTCTCCTTTAATTCCACTTAAGAATCTCATTCAGTGGACAGTTTGAATGGAACAGTTCTCTTTCTTAAGTCTGTAGATACTTATTGTAACCAACATGAGATGTGAACATCATTCTAAACAACCACTGTGTTGACATATTTAACTTCTGTTTGTATGTTCCTACATAATGGAAATACAATCCCGAACCAATCGCATGCACTCATTATTGTGCTTGCAATGATAATTTGTAGCTAATATGTTAATGAACTAGATGTCATGATAGGTTTGTAACATATGTGATCATACCTACCTTAAGTCCTCTAGTAGAATAACAAACACTGTCTTACTCTCTAGGATCAGTTTATGGTCTCATTGCATTTTATAACTTGCTTTTTTTTTAATCTGTTGATTTTACATTTTAAAACCTGCTATGTTGATTTTTAAAAAAAAATGTTTTCTATTAAGGCCTTAAAAAAATCATAGCATGTTTTAAAAAATGTGTTAGTTCTAACAAGCAGTGACTGCAATATAACTCCATGAATCAGCTAGGATGAATGTGTTTCAGGTGGTGAACCTTGCTAGACAGTTGATCTACTTTGGCTTCTATTCATTTTCTGACCTGCTGCGGCTGACCAAAACACTGCTCAGTATCCTGGACTGTATTCCTGAGTCTATTGCCAGCTCATCTGCGCTCACAGTCCCTGTCTCTGTTGTGGTAGTTGCTGAAGGTAAAACCTAGATACAATTTTCAAATCTTTAAAAATATATTTCATTGCCTCGAATAATTAATATTGTAGCTAATAAATAGTTTGTTAAGGTAAAGATGAAAATAACACTTTTAAAAATCCCGAAGCCTAAAATGGTTTGTTTACTAACAATCTAATATTTGCAGATCCAGATTTGGATATCCCATTATCTCAACAAGCCACAGAGTTGAAGAACAAGAAAAAGAAAGAGGAAGAAGAAGACACCAAGATAATGGACACCAAGTTAAAGATCATAGAAATACTGAAGGTACAGTCAGGCACAACTTTGATAGGATTCTGTGTTTCTGCTTCTGGGTCTTTTTTTGCTATACATAACCAGAGTGAACATTTAAACCTCAGAATTCCCTCCATATCCACTCAATATATTTTTGTTCTGTTGAATTGTTATGCTGTTAGGTTTATATAGAATTATTATCATTCAGTAGGGTTCAACATTGACTAAGGCTTATAGGCTGGATAAATGTTTAATGTATTGTTTCACTAATTATAATTGTTTCAGTTTATTATGGACACCAGGCTAGATTTCAGAATTACTTCCCTTCTCTCCATTTTCAAGAAGGAACATGATGAAAATTATAATCCACATGAAAAAACTGGTAAAATTGGCTTTGGGACTCGATTTAACCTTGCTAACCTTCTCTTAGTTGCAGTTAACAATTGCATGCTATCATTAGGATTCAGTCCTTCATTACAAGGGCACCACCCCCAGTCACCTATATCACTAGTAGCTTTTAGCACTCCGATAGCTCTTCACCCTATACAGTAAAAGATAAATTTTAAAATATTTCTCCTGTAAGATAGGTTATCAAATATGAATTTGTTTCACTGTACCGTAAGTCCTAGTGCATGCCACAGTGCTGCCCAATATTAATAGCATCATTGTTGCTATGTTCCTGTCAGTTTATCAGTATACAAGTACACTTTCAAAAACTAACTTGCATAACTACTAGAAACGATGCTTATCTTCTTTCTGATGCCTAAACAAATACCTTCATTTTGGCTTCAGTTTATTCAATATCAAATCTTAATTATTTCAATATTCCTGTGCTCAAATAACTAAAAATCACACTCATCACAAAAACATCACTCACACAGACATTATTCAAGTAGAGTCAAATAAAATAAAATCGATAAATAATTTTTTACAATAGATCTGAAATCACAAAAAAACATTCTATCTTGCAAGACAAAGCGTAATAAAAAAAAGTTGAAATTTCATCTACTCAAGTTTTTAAGACATTAATGTCACAGTGCAGCTAAAACAGACTTACTTTAATACAGTGTCCAGCTACAGTGAACTGTTATGTACTCCTTTAAAAATGGACAGTTATCAATAGTAGCATTTCCCAGTCAAATTCACAAAGAGAGCTTTAATTAAGCTTAAGATATATTTTTAAAATCTTTAATAATATTCAGTCTGTTTTTTCCCCATCTTTTATAAGCTGTAAGAGACTGCTTTTAAAATGAAATTTACTTCAAATCATGTTACTTTGGAAAGGTTTGGTTCTTTATACTTTATAGTCTTGATTTGAAAAGCTAGTGATTTTTTTCTGTTCTTTCTTTAAAAATGAATATAATTTTTTCCTTCATTTTGAGTAATTTTAGTATTATCCCATTGCCATTTATTATTTTTAGTCAGTCATTTGTTTGGAATTGCAAAAAGTTCCTGAGAATTAGTGCCCATTGCCTTTTATTAAGTCGTTTGTTTTGAAATATGAGTATTCCAAAAAGTTGCTGAAAATTATTGCAGGAGGCTGTTTACTAAAATGTTAGCAGCATTACTGCTAGATTGTGAAATCTTCTTTATTTGATAACACATTTTTTCAAGTGTTTTTGAGACTATTTCTTGTGTTAATGCCAAGATTGGATGTGTTAGAGTTGTCCTTTTCCAGTGCATGTATTGTTTGTGGGCCTGATAACAGTTGTCATTTATATTCAGATAGCCCCATTGATTCACAAAAGTTCAAACACTATAACTTGATGAATTCTGTTTTCAACTTATCCTAGATGCAGGAAACATAAGCTATTTATTTTTATATTGTGTGATTTTTATTTAATTCTAAACTAATGTAACTCCGACACTTCTGTAGCCTTGACCTAACTTCTACTCTTATGGCACCTGTAGCCTTGACCTAACTTCTCTTATGGCACCTGTAGCCTTGACCTAACTTCTACTCTTATGGCACCTGTAGCCTTGACCTAACTTCTCTTATGGCACCTGTAGCCTTGACCTAACTTCTACTCTTATGGCACCTGTAGCCTTGACCTAACTTCTACTCTTATGGCACCTGTAGCCTTGACCTAACGTTTACTCTTATGGCACCTGTAGCCTTGACCTAATTTCTACCCTTATGGCACCTGGAGCCTTGACCGAATTACTATTAAAACACCTGCAACTTTGACCTATCTCAATCTGGCAGCCATTTTATCTTCAGCCTATACTGACCAAGCTAATATCTTTCAAGCTGTGCTCTAATTTACCACTGGTCACTAGTACCACTGGTCACTAGCATCTCTACTACTGTCATGTTATTTTACTAATCAAACCATGTACTAAACCTGCTTGTATACAGTACCTTATGCATGTGCGGCTGGATTACCGCTTGACTTGGATACTGGCCATGTTTAAATCTCAAATTCAACCCCAGCTAGATAACAGTCCTGTGTACAAGTCTAACACTAACATACGTATGTTCCGATTCTCTCTGGATATAGTGGTTCAGTTTGTTTTTTGTTTGATCTAGTCTATCAGTTCTATCGTCCTTAATTGTTTTATTTTTTTTTTATTTGTGTGCAGTGACAAAATACTTTTTAATAAAGGCTCATTATAATGGGTTGTTTTTTTCCACATCCAACTGATTCTATGTTGTCTTCATTTTTTATGTTGCTAAAAATATCTTATTGTGACCTGGCTTTCCCCTAATTGACATATTATTCATATGTTATATTTTAAATAGTTGTGTTTTTTGCTAATTTTGTCATTGTTGTGATTTGTCTTCTGGAGTTCTTGTTGGTCAATCCTATAATCTCCCATAAAATTATGGTAAGCTTGAATTTTTGTACTCTCATTACATACAATGACATTTTTTTTATTCCACTATAAAGCTTGTTTCTATTTCGCAAGGCTTTAAATTGCATTATATCGCAATAAGCTTTGTTAAATTAAGATGGTTTTTAATTATTTATTCGCTTCATATCTTTCTTAAATTGTTTAAATCTTGATTCTATAATGTACCTTTAGTATAGTCAAGTACATTGTGATTATTTTATCTGTATTCACTAATATACCTGCCTGTTTATCACTTCACATCTCAGCACATCACTGTATTCTCCTGTTGTTTTTTTTGGACTTCAATTTAATTTGGGCTTTTAATGGTAACAATAAAGATCCTGCAGAGTAATAAATTTTACCATCAAAAAGTAACCATATGGCTTTTCACATGTTGAAAATTAATTCAGTTTGTTATTTGCACCTCAAAATAAATGTTTCTTTGATGTGTTGTCAAGATGCATATTATGATTTGTGATACATTTATACGATTTCATGAAAATAGCATACAATTTTAAAAACTAATCTGAAGCCATAACACAGCAAGTAATTTTTTAGTAACTAAACTAAAAAAAAGCAAAGGAATAAAATAGAAATAAATGAATGTAGCTTAAAGCAACAACAAGGCTGTACACATTGTTTTATTGTGAGCTAATGATCAAGTTTCCGTTTCAGGCCTTGACCTTGATAGCATAGCTACCCAAGCTGAAGATGTTTTTGGTGGCAGGTCAGTCTTTTATGTGTGTGGTAGCAATTTGTCTCTGGATAATGAGTTTTATATGGTTTATTTTATTTAATAGCCTTGCTTACATTTCTTGCTATCATATTTATATCAGTTTAAAACTATTTTATTTTAGTTTTTTTAATTACCACCTGTATTATTAAAAATAATATAAAGAGGATGGCTTTTATTTTTATTTCTTTTTAAAAGGAACTTTTTAATTAAAGTACTTCCACCTAAACTTAAACCTAAACACAATAAATGTTTGTTTTGTTAAAACTCCAACATTGTTGTACCACTTTTTGTTGTAACCACAGTGATGAGCTGGACTTGGATGGACAAGGTGGGAAGATGTTCCTGCGTGTTTTGCTCAACATGGTCATGCACAACTATCCATCCCTTGTCTCTGGTGCTTTACAATTGCTGTTTCGACATTTCTCTCAGCGCCAAGAAGTTCTCAATGCTTTCACACAGGTTTGTTGCACGTGTTTGCAAAATTTCACATTTTTGTTCATCGTGGTCAAAAGGCTGTTGCTGACACAGGGTCCTGTATGTCAACACAATGTCCTGTCATCTTAAATATGTTAAAAGTGGGTGGGTTCAGGTATGGTCAAAAGGCTGTTGCTGACACAGGGTCTTGTATGTCAACACAATGTCCTGTATGTCAACACAATGTCCTGTATGTCAACACAATGTCCTGTCATCTTAAATATGTTAAAAGTGGGTGAGCTCAAGTATGGTCAAAAGACTCAACTTTAAAATCTTATGTAACAAGAACCTCAAACCCCCAATTGCTAGAATGTGCTGTCTATTTCATCACAATACTGCTATATCAAAAATTGAAACAGAAGTAATTCTGTAGTACAACAAGGAAGAACATGTTGTTTATAGTTGTTTATAGTTTTAGGTATTTTATTAACACATTAATTATTGCAATTCAACCTACTGATCAATCACAATTAGGTCCAGTTATCAATAGAATTTTGTATAGGTCCAACTATTTAAAAAAAGTGTATTTGATGTGTAGATCTAGCTATTAAAAGAAATGTATTTTGTGTGTAGGTCCAGCTTTTAAAAGAAATGTGTACTTTGTGTGTAGGTCCAGCTTTTAGTAACCAACAGTGATGTTGAGAACTACCGTCAAATCAAATCTGACCTTGACAAGTTGCGACTGCTGGTGGAGAAATCTGAGCTGTGGGTGTACAAAAACAAACATGGGGATGATGCCCCTAAGAAAAAGAAGAAAAAGTCTACCAATGATGAGGGGGAAGAGGGCAAAGAATCTGCAGAGAAAAGTGAGAAGAAAGTTAAAAAGAAGGATCACTTGGTATGAATCATTTTTATACTAAGTTTTTAAAAAGTATGGAAAGCATAATTCACTATTTGTTTTTCGTTGTTTTTTTGTTTTTTTAATAAAAATACTACGACCTCATTTATAGATATCCACAGTTAAGTATTGAATGCCTAACTGAAAATGCATTTAAAATTTTTAGGGTCACCCAGAATCAGAGTCTGCGATAGATTTAGATTTGGGTCCACCTATCAGCAGTGACTCAAGTGTTAACTACAAGACCATTAAAGCTGTAAGTATTTGCTGCCTCCCTTGACTAGCAACTCCATGCAAAAAATTGCTAAATAAGGCTTTTTTAAGTGACATTTTTGTATGTATTGTCACTGGGTACACAGACAGTTATTGTTCTTTGGAGATTTTCACTGTATTTTATACATGATCTTTGTTAGATTCTACAACGGCTGACAAAATTGTGCATTGATGAAACGGATAAAAACAAGAAGGTTTCAATCTTTCTTTCCATGTGTTGTAATCCCTATTGTCTGAAGTTTAAACATTGTTTCACCTAAAAGGGTGAAGTTTTCGATTTGCTGTGTGCAGATTTTGGTCAGAGTTAGATGGCTTGACCTGAATTGACAGCTTTTTTTTTCTTTTAATTTTTTAGCCTATTCTGTTAGTCATTGCAGCTATTGAAGGTCAAAATGAATTCCCCATTCTGTCAGAGTAGAAAATTAATATTTTGAGATAACATATCAAAACTGGAGCAAGTATTACTAAATAGTACATGCACATTTTAAACTACAATAGGTTAGAATTTGATTTGATTTATATATCACTAAATACCGATGTATTGTGGTTTATATAATTATTTATTATTGTTGTATTTTTGTTACAAGTTGTTAACTAAAGTGTGAAATGGAGAGGAATGTTGGTCATCGCAACTTAGTCTTTTAAAACAAACATTGATGGGAGATATCTTTTAAATCTTTTTTATTTCAATTAATTCCACACAAATGAATGAAAAAATTTAAAACTAGAATTGATTATTTATCAAATTTAAATCAAGCAATAGAACAATTGAGTGAAGAAATTTTGTGTGATACTTTTTGTTTAAAAACACATAAATTAGTTGCTTCTTATTGATTGTTTCTTTTTTATGTTGCTGAAGTGTGCAATAGAAACTCATTTAAAATTAACTAAAAAATTTGAAGGGGCTATAAATCTAGTTAATTATTCAATTGCTAGTTATATCTGATTCTTGTAACAGACTATGCAGTGCAATTATTTTTTTACCTTGCCAATCTTGAAATAAAGTTCATCAAGTTTTGAACTAGAATAGGCATATTCAACTGTCAAGTGTTACTGTTGAAATATTCCATTGTATAATTTTACTATTACCTGTTGAAAAGGCATATGCATCATTTTGATAACTCTAGAATAGAAGTATGTTAATGTTAGTACTAAAATAAACAATTAGAATATAGGAAAAAAGTAGAATAAAAACTGTTCTGTAAGTTTTGATTGTCAAAGCTCTAAAAAAACCAAAAAAGAAACCAATTATTGTCTGTTTATCTTTAACTGCTAGCATAGTCATGCGTTGCAAAATTTTATTTAACTTGTAAGCAACTGGACCATTTAATGCTAAGATGACCATAGAATTGTTTGTTTAGATTGTCTGTAAATGTGATCACTAACCTTACATATTAGAAGTTAATATAATGGGGATTTCTTGAGCAGTAGAAATCTCAGTTAGTTATAGCAACTATAATACAATTTTTTTTTTAAATTCCATTGAATTTAAGGCAATGGTAACAATAGTTGTTTTTTTCTTTTTTTAAATTTGCTAAATTCTTTGAAATAATTCTAAATATGCTATTAGTTGTTGTTATGCTGTTTACAATAATTTGTTAAAGACCATTTGGTGAGTTATGTTTTTAAAGTGTAACATAGAAAAAGTGTCATGTTTTAAAACAATTTTTGGAAATATTTTTTAATAATACTGTTAAAAATTCCATTTTTATGATTGCATTTATCTTTTGTTTCCTGGCATTTTCCCATTATTTCATTATTTGTTCCCCATTTCTTTTCAACTTTTGCCATTGTCAAGTTTTGCCTTTTTTTCCCCACTGACTCTTTCATCAACTTTCGTATTTTGTGAATCTTGATATTTGATCAGCATGATCGCAATATAAATTGACACTTGGGCTAGTTAGTGAATAGATTAGGTGTGATTGCATATGCCTTTTCTATATCTATTGGGATGTTGTGTTCAAACTGCTGAGTCACCTGCCATTTAAATTGACTGTTTTAATTTAGGTACTGATAGAAGATACATCTGAGGTAAAAGAATAAACAATCATTTCAAATAGTTTGATGAATTAATCAAGCATGGTTATTGGTCTCGTGACATCAGTTTACTAAAAGACATTGTCTTTTGGTTGCTTTTTTTATTGTGCATGTTAATTTTTTATGTTTTTCTATCCTGATAACAACTGACAAGTTATTTTTAAAAAGATAAAGTTTTGATAAAAAATGTGCGCTTTAAGTAACAAAACAAGTTAAATAAGAAGTAATGTTTAAGTAGGCTAGTTCACCAAAAATGAAGTCTACAGGTTACAGCCTTACTAGAAAAAAGTATAATAATTAATTTTTTTTATCATTTATGCACGTCCTTTTTAATGAGTCTTATTTCCCATGATCAGATTCTGCAGCGACTGACCAAGCTGTGCATACAAGAAGCCGGAGACATAAAGAAATCCAGGAAACATGAGCAGAGACTCTTGAGGAACATGAACGCTCACTATGTCATACTTGAGCTTCTCATGATCACATACGACAAGGTACTTACAAGGCACTTGTATATATATTCAGTAGTTAGAAAAATAATTAATGATTAATTTCTAAAGTTTTTTTTTTTAAAACTTTTATATTTCAAGGAACTAGACAGCAGAATGAATGAATTGATGAAACTAGCCCATGAGTTTCTTCAAGCTTTTTGTCTCAACAATCAACAAAATCAATGTCTGTTGGAGGACAAGCTGGACCTCTTTCTCACTCCGGGGGTAGGCTATGTGATTTTTACTTTTTCTCACTCCTGGGGTAGGCTATGTGATTTTTACTTTTTCTCACTCCTGGGGTAGGCTATGTGATTTTTACTTTTTCTCACTCCTGGGGTAGGCTATGTGATTTTTACTTTTTCTCACTCCTGTGCTGTTACCTACCTTAGATATTTTTTTCTCGTGTTGTTTCTTGAATTATTTTTGTGGTGACATTGTTACCTTTTGATATTAGTTCATGTTGTGTCTACACAAAATGTTTCTCAGCTCCTGGAAGCAGAAACCATGAAGGCCATCTTCCAGGACAATGCATCTTTATGTAATGAAGTTAGTGACAGAGTCATTCAACATTTTGTACACAACATAGAGACACATGGGCGGCATGTTCAGTACTTGAGGTTTTTACAGACTATCGTCAAAGCTGAGGGGGAGTATATCAGGAGATGTCAGGATCTGGTCATGTCAGAGGTACATTCTTCATGTTGTACAGTTTTAGTTTGAATTTCTTTTTTATTATTATTTTCAAAGACAGCCTTAATCAACAACCATATCTGGTTGACAATGGCTTAAATAAACATTGCTGTTAAAATCCATGTCATGGAAAAGCTGAGTTACACTTTTTATTTTGTAATGAAATTCCAAAGTGTATTAGCCTGCTTTAATCATGACTGTCATGTATCTCTCAGCTGGTGAATGTGGGGGAAGATGTTCTGGTGTTCTACAATGAGCCATCAAGCTTTGAGCACCTGATAGAGCTGATGCAGTCGGAGCGTCACAGGGTGAACGAGCAGAGTGCCCTGAACTACCACATCAACCTGGTGCAGCTGCTGGCCCTGTGCACAGAGGGCAAGAATGTTTACACTGAGATCAAGTGCCACTCCCTGCTCCCTCTGGACGACATCCTCAAAGTTGTCACACACCCTGACTGCATACCCGAGGTAGAGGAACTCTCACACATTCAACTTGTTTTCTATGGTGATACCACATTGATATCTGTGTAGATGTTGGACTAAAACCCATTGAATGATTAAAGCATTGTTTATCAAGCTATTCAAAATGTTAGATGGTTTGTTGAATAATTCACTAAATAGGTTTTTATACCAACAGGTGAAAACAGCATACATTAACTTCTTAAATCATTGCTATGTGGACACAGAAGTTGAAATGAAAGAAATATACACCAGCAAACATATGTGGACGTTGTTTGAAAATTTTCTTTTAGACATTGCCATGGTAATTGCTGTACATTTTAACCTCAAATTAATTGGTTTTCTGTTTCCTTTGCATTTTAAAAATGATTCATTTGAATGGTGGGAGCTTTTTGTATCTGATGGTTATCTCCCTTATCTCATCTGACAGGTGTGTAATGCTACCCATGATAGAAAACATGCCAACACTGAACTAGAGCAGTATGTTACCGTGACTGTCATGAATATCATTACAACATTTTTCAGTTCTCCATTTTCTGATCAGAGCACCAACATACAGGTATAGGGGTTTTCTTACATTTTTTTTTTTTTTAATAATTGTACTTGGGGCAGTAACTTTAGGAGATACTTTGCTCTTTACATTAGTCAATAAAACATTTCCTGACTAACAGACAAACCAGCCAGTATTTGTTCGGCTGCTTCAAGGAGCTTTTAGACTAATCCGTTGTGAATGGTTGGATGGATCACAAAGGTTCCATGTGGAAGCTTGCATCAAGACTCTATCAGATACAGGTACACATTATTTCAGCATCAATATATGCTTTAAGGAAATATTTTTTTAGAAATAGCTAGTTTTTTACATCAATTTTTTATTATAATCCATTGTGCCTTTTTAAGTTATCCACATTTAATTTATTTCTAAAACTTCAGCAAAAAGTCGAAGTATTGCCATCCCAGTTGACCTGGACAGTCAGGTGAATGCTTTGTTTGAGAGGTCAAACATTGTCCAGAAAACTTCCGCCAGGTGGCTAAATGTGAGACAGAACAGACGAGAATCTCAGGCACACACTTCACGGGATTATAGAAACATTATTGAAGGCTTGCAGGTGGGTTCAAGTTTCCTACTCATTGTCATAGATTTAAATTTTAGAAACATTATTGAAGGTTTGCAGGTGGGTTCAAGTTTTCTACTCATTGTCATAGATTTAAATTTTAGAAACATTATTGAAGGTTTGCAGGTGGGTTCAAGTTTTCTACTCATTGTCATAGATTTAAATTTTAGAAACATTATTGAAGGTTTGCAGGTGGGTTCAAGTTTTCTACTCATTGTCATAGATTTAAATTTTAGAAACATTATTGAAGGTTTGCAGGTGGGTTCAAGTTTTCTACTCATTGTCATAGATTTAAATTTTAGAAACATTATTGAAGGTTTGCAGGTGGGTTCAAGTTTTCTACTCATTGTCATAGATTTAAATTTTAGAAACATTATTGAAGGCTTGCAGGTGGGTTCAAGTTTTCTACTCATTGTCATAGATTTAAATTTTAGAAACATTATTGAAGGTTTGCAGGTGGGTTCAATTTTTCTACCTTAGTAGAAGTCTAAGCAATAGCATTGCTAACTATAGAGGCATGTATAAAATGTATTTCCCCTCTGTGCTACCAGGAAATTGTGTCCACCTTAAACAGTCATCTAAAGCCGCTAGTATTAGCTGAGATGTCTGTCCTAGTGGATGTGTTACACAGGCCTGAACTCCTTTTCCCACCCTCTACTGAGGCCAGAGAAAAATGTGAAAGTGGTGGATTTATTGCCAGGTAAGTTCATCTCAGCTCTTCATTTTGTGGATTTATTGCCAGGTAAGTTCATCTCAGCTCTTCATTTTGTGGATTTATTGCCAGGTAAGTCCTCTTAGTTTTTAGATTCTAGATTCATGTCTAGCATGTCAAGGTATATGTTTTTCAAAATCTGGAGGTAATAAACATTTCCAGATTGATATGTCACACATAAACATGTTTTCCAGATTAATACGTCACACATAAACATGTTTTCCAGATTGATACGTCACACATAAACATGTTTTCCAGATTAATATGTCACACATAAACATGTTTTCCAGATTAATACGTCACACATAAACATGTTTTCCAGGTTAATACGTCACACAGAATGTTTGCTGGAAGAGAAGGAAGAAAAACTGTGTATTAAAGTCCTACAGACACTGAAAGACATGATGTCTGCTAATGAAAGCAGATCTGAAAAGGTTAGTTACTTTTTTTATTGTCTTATTTCTTTGGAACAGACAAATCCTCTAAAAACTGAATAAAAGTTTTTAAACAAATTATATTAATTTAAAGTATTTTAGATCAAGTTAAGAAGATACAATATATCTTCAGTCTTACTGTTTTCAAATGAAATTACTTTAATGTACAATTCAATAATTGTCTTATATAAACTATCAAACGCACAGAAGGACCAATTATTTATGGCACATATACCCACAATAGCTAGTTGCTACTTTCTTCCTATATCCACATTTGCTGATCACTTTTTCCTTCTATATCCACAAGAGGAAACCTCTCTTTACCCCATATATACACAACAACGTATCACTATTTTCCTGAAATATTGATTAGTTGCTGATCACTTTTACCCCATATATACACTTTTCTGATGGCTTAAATGAGTATGTTAGTTATACTGATCACTATTAGATTTAGAACTCTTAATTGAGCTTGTTTTGTTATGTGTTTTATACCTCTTTTTGCTGTAAGTTTACATTTACATCATTTACATGTTCTTCACTACGCCAACATAATTTTGTTTTCATCTCAATAATATAAATAAAATGTAAAGAGATTTTAAAACAAAAAATTTTTAAATGACTTTTTTATTTGACTTTTAAGTAAAGAAAACCGTTTAAAAATTGAGGAGTAATCTGAGTGGTGTAGTAGTTATCCATCATGATTCCACTAACACTTGCTCACTTTTTCATTGACTAACATAAGGTGGATGTAAAAACTCTGACAAAAAAAGATTTAGAAGACCACAGGAGGGTAAGGTTTTCACGTGGATGTTGTTTACTGGTGGTACCATTGGACTCAGACCAGTTTAAATCTCACTCTTCTCTTATCATATTGCATAACAAAAGAACTATTCAAGTTGTTTTGTTTCTGTGGCTAATTTATCTTTTTTTAAGCATAAACTTAACAGAGATGTTTAATAATTTCTATCAGAGATATATTTTCTATTGTTGAAAATAGTGAATTGTTTTTATTAAATGTTTTGAGAATGGAATTGTCCATTATTTATCTGTTTTGAAACCATACTGAGAAAAGTATCCATGCCTTTTGTTTTAGTTCAGTTAATAATTTAAACATTTCTGAAAATAAATATCTGCCTTATCTTTTAAGCTGTGGTTCTGCATGTGCTGAACTTTCAGTAAAAATAATTTCTAAACATTCACTCACAAAAATAGCTATGGCTTTTCTTTTTTTCCTCATGTTTCAAAAAATGGAATTAGATGAGAACATTACTGGTAATTATAATCAAGTGGCAGATGTTTAATGTGTAGTTCATATTATGTTCATATTTTTCACACTAAGCAAGTGAAAATTATGTGCCATATTTCTTTTGTTAAAAATTCTATGATTGTAATTTGAAAATGGTTGTTCATTGGTACCACCATTAATGTAGAATGGTTTATTTTTTCTAATCAATGCCTGTTGTTTGTCTTCTTGCTTTATATTTTAAGTTAAAATCTTTTTTTTAATAGAATGTTTTAATAGAATTTGTATTTTTTTTTTGTCAATTACTTCTTGGAATTTTATAATGATTGGAGTTTTTACATTTGAATGCACACAAGTGGTGTATCATTTTTGTCATGGAATATATTTTGACTTTTCAGCAATACTAAAGTAATGTTTATGGTTTTGTTAATACATGCAGCAATTTCTAATGGTATTAATTAACTAATATATAACAAAAATTTCTATTCAATTAATTTCATCATTTTTTACATGAACTTTTGCCATTATCATACCCTCTTAAAAAAGATTCTAGCAAATAGTCTTGTCATTGCTGGAACAATATAAATTGGTAAAATTAAATGCTTCTCATGTTGTGACATTTATTTAATTAATTTCACTGTTAAAAAATAATCAAGTTAGGTCACTCTCTTGTTTTTTTTGGTGAGGTATTAATCTGTTTTTGTGCATTTCCAGTGTGAGGCTTTACGGCAGAGTTTGTTGATGCGTTACTATGACAGAAGTCAACCCCGCAACAGGCGAGAGAGTCAGCCAACTGGACAGAATTCTGGCCCGGGGTCAACAATGATCAGCCAGGCCAATAACCTATCATTGCACCAAGTTCAGGTTAGGCTCTAGACTTAACAAACTTTGTACTGTAATAACCCATCCCTCGAACTTATATCTTTTTTACTCTCTCGTATATACAAAGTATAGAGAAAGTCTTGTAATCGTGCAAAAAAAAAAATTGAGATTTTTGCTAATCTCGACATTTTACAGCTCTCTGAGTCAGAAAAACATAATTTGCAATCTTGTCCGTATATCTGTGTGTGTGTCTGTAAACACAATAAGTTGAGTATTGTTACAGCTAGATTGATGAAATTTCATATATAAGTATTATAACAAAATCGTAGATCCGTATCAACTTTTGAGAGATTTCCAATAACTGGAAGTGGAAGTTTTTCTACTTTGAATTTTTCAAAAGCCTATAACTTGAGTACTATTTTAGATAGATAAATGAAATTTCACATGTAAGTAAAAGATCTAATTCTCCGCCTTCTATCAAATTTTGAGTAATTTCCGTTGACCGGAAGTAGTAATTTTCGCTATTTCCGATTTCTCAAAAAACTCATGTGAGTTTATAAAGTACTAATAATATTCCACACTATTATGCACATTTTATTTGGCGCTCACTTGGTGTGCAATTCTTTTTTCTACGAGATTTTATTCTATTTTTAAAAGTTTAAGTGTTTAAAATGGATTAAATATCATGTCTATATGCCAAGTTGCCATCCCCTGTTGTTTCATATAAGAATATTTGAGAAAGTTCAGGGGAGATCACTCCTGGTTTATTTTGTACTGTGATAAAACATTAGTAGTAATTACTAAACTGTATGCTGTAATGAATCATTAGCATCCATCATCAAACTTTGTATTGTAATGATACATTAGTACAACCATCAAACTATGTATTATAATGACACATTGTTAAAATATTTTTATATTTTTTTGAAAGTATTTTTTATGACGCAACTTGTATACTGAATATAATTGATAATACATTTTGAAAAGACATTCCTTGCACTTTTAATGATATATCTTGCTTACTTTCCATTATAATTTCTATTTTGAATCTGTCTATTCTAATATCTTCCTGTCCACATACAGTGTTTCTTGGATGACAAGGGCGCTTCCAATCTTGTGATTGATCTGATCATTAAAAACACCAGCAATAAAGTCTTTTTAGAAACAGTTGAATTGGGTATAGCTCTGTTGGAAGGAGGAAACAGCAAGATTCAGGTTATAAACTTACATAATTTGATACCTTAAACAAATCATTTTTTCTTCATGACATAGGCAACAGAGTACATTTGTTAAATTATTTTGTTATTTATTTTGATTTCCTTACCTGCAGACAGTTTTTTTTTTACAGAATTTTTAGACTTGTCAGTTTTAAATTACCTTTTATTGAATAGATTTTTCTTTTTACGATTTGCGCAGAAATCCATCTTCTTCAGACTTACAACAGACAAAGATGCAGACATATTTTTTAAGGTTTTCTTTGATCGCATGAGAGATGCACAGGTAGAGATCCGCAATACAGTTACAGTCAACACCTCTGACACAGAACACAGGCCACACAGGGATGAGGAAAAGAAGAAAAAAGGTCAGTACTGCCTAGCTTGCTTGTCTTCACACTTCATGTTCTGTGGTTATTGTTTGGTAGTTATTGTTGGGTTATTAACATCTGTCCATCAGTTACATGATTAATTAGTGAAGTTAAAACCAGGTTTTAGCATCAAGTTTCCAGTTTAAATGTGTAAAGGTTATAAGACTGCATGGCACATTCTTACTGCTGACTGGGTTTCCATTATTTATCACAACTTACGGATGGGAATCTTTTTCACTAGTTCAGCATATTTTGTATAGAGTCAGCGTGAAATTCCAGCTAAATTGTATGCTGTTTTAGTATTAAGTTTTTTTACTGTTGGCAGCATATGCACATTCTACATGTTTAAAAAAAAATTTTTTTAATGCACCATACCTCGCAACTGTATGTTACGCCACGCGTACATTTTTCCTGGTAATTAAGTTTTTGATGAGCTTAAATATAGAAGAAAATTGTTTCTTTGAATAAATTATTTTAGCTCCTACTTTTAAGTCTTCAGAAATTTGTTTTTCACTGATTAAGTGTTGAGGAATTCCCAGTGTTTGTGTATGTGTGTATTAGTTTTGGTGCTGAAATTATTGTGACTAAGCAGTGGATATTGACATCCTAAATGGCGGGTTGTCCTCAGATTCCATTACAACATTAGACAATTTCCCAATGCAATATCGGAATATAGAAGAAGGTAAGGTTTTGCCCCTACTGCAGCTAAAAAAAACAAGTAAATCTTTAGGGCTTTTTCATGTATATTCAGCTTCAAATGTACTCTGGGAGTGTATTCAGTACATAGTTTGCTACATTTTTAATAAAATCACAATAGAAATGTAGAGAACTTCTTGATACACACTCAACTAACACAGGCTACTAAATTCAGTTGAATAATGAATCTTTTTTTTCTCTGTTTTTTTTATTGTTTGTCAAATACTTATGTATCTCCAACTATACTGTTTTCTTTTCTTTTGAGTGTTGGTCAACAGAATTAATTAAACTTGTCTTTATTTGCTTTGTGTTTCACATTCTAAAGACAATTCAAGAGCAGATTTTCTTATTAATTGTAATTTTTCAAGTGTTGACAGGCATTCATTGCAACTTGGGAGTGATCTGGAATGCTCTAGGACTTGTTGACGATCTTCTTACCAACTTTACATGCTTCTCTTTTGATGCTGTGTCATTATAAATCTATTTAATCTGATATAGTTGCCAGTTAAACCGCTCTGATAATAGTAACTTCATTCTCCTTGTCTTGTTATCTTGTAATTATTTCTTCTTTTTTTTATATATTTTACACCACAATTTAAAAGTTCTTCATCTATGAACGAGATTAATTCATGTAATAATGGTTGTATATTTTAATGTAAACTGTCATGTTTTTAAAAAACATAGTTCTACTGAATCTGAATAAAAACTAAAAATTAATTTCAAAGAATACCATAATTTTTTTTTATTTGATTAAACTAGATGTGCATTTATGCATTTATTATGTAAACATCTAATAATTATATACAAACTTAACACATTTTATTTTATGCAGAGAGCATAATATAAAAAACTGTCTTCGTGTTTTTTCAACACTTTACAACTTATATTTGCTGTGATTTCTTTTCTTGTCATTTTTTTAAAAACTATATGAACATTTTTATCAGTAAAAAAGTAATGCTGGTATTTAATTAGACAGGACTAAATAGCCAGTTTACACTTGCTTAATGCTGATACACAGCTCTTAATTTTGTTTATTAGATTAGAAGCTTTTTAACCAATATTTTTTAACAACAGAATTACACTTCAAAAATCTTTGCACAAAAGAAAAAGCTCTGTTCAATTTACCTTTCTATGATTAAAAATTGCAAATTAAAAAGATTAGATAACTCTGTAAGATTTATTAACACAGTCATACAGTAGATACGCTAACACACTTTTTACTATTGATTTGAAGGTTTAAATTTAAAAAAATTGTACTCAAGTTATATCTAAAAATGATTTTAAAAATATATAAAGTTATTTTAAAATCCAATTCGATTATGCAATAAAAATAAACATTGAATTACCTTGTCTGTTAATAGTAAAAAACAAATTGATGCCTAGAATAAAATAAGCTTTACAATATTTTTAGTTGTATGTGTGAATATATGAATGAACTCTATATTAGTAAAAGTGTATTTCCTTATAAGGCTGACAAGATATGAATTGTTTTACGAAGTGGAAAACAACTTTAGAAAGTTTGTAGATTTTCTTTTAAAAGGAAGAATAAAAAAAATATTTCTTTTCTTAAGAATTTTTTTAGTTTTTTTTTTTAGGTTTGAATAATACATTAGAGGCATCTTTTTTCTTATTAACATAATAACAGAATATAAACTTTTTATTTGTTATTGTTTTAAAAATGTTTCTGATTGTAAAACTTCCGTTGTAATGAGAGTTTGTGGATACAATTTTCAGTGCTCAGCAGTTTGAGTAGTATCATGCTGCAGCTTTTAGTTATATTCTAGTCAGCCCATATTACAAGAGTTTAAGTAGTATCATGCTGCAGCTTTTAGTTATATTCTAGTCAGCCCATATTACAAGAGTTTAAGTAGTATCATGCTGCAGCTTTTAGTTATATTCTAGTCAGCCCATATTACAAGAGTTTAAATAGTATCATGCTGCAGCTTTTAGTTATATTCTAGTCAGCCCATATAACAAGAGTTTGTTGAACTTTTCCAGTCCACAGATCTGAGGCCCCAGTGAATGATGATCTGAGAAATGAGTTTGATGATGTAGCCAGCCAGACCAACAAGGCATTCAGTCACGTCAGGCAGGTCCACGGGAGGACGGGGGGAGACAACCCACAGGGAGAGCATGATGACGGGGATGTAAGGCTGGAATTGTTTACACACTCACTAGAATATAAAGTCAGGTCAATGCCAGGTACACTGACATTTGTTTGTTTGATCTAGCAGACTCGTGCCCACTCCCAGCAGTCAGCAGAAGAAAGTGACCGGCCTAAACATGAAGGATCAGATGACAAAAAGATGTCCCAGCAGATTGCCATCATGAAGCCCATCCTCAGATTTCTCCAGCTGCTGTGTGAGAACCATAATCGGGACTTGCAGGTTGGTCCAGCTGACCCCACTAGCTGATATTAATGAAGCTGAATTACTCTCACATTCTAATTGAATGCTGAAAACTTTTCCAGAACTACTTGCGCACCCAGCCCAACTGTAAAAGCCCCCAGAACTTGGTGTGTGAAACTCTCCAGTTCCTGGACTGTATCTGTGGCAGTACAACTGGTGGGCTTGGTCTCCTGGGCCTGTACATCAATGAGCACAATGTGGACCTCATCAACCAGGCATTGACCACTTTAACTGAGTACTGCCAGGGGCCATGCCATGAAAATCAGGTTCGTTACTGGCTGAAACTGTTTAAGTATTTATTCTTGAATATTTGTTGATCTGATTGATCAGGTATTCACTGTTCATATCATTTTTTAAAATTGTTCTTACATATAATTTCCAAAAAAAATTTCTTTCCAGAATGCCATAGCAATGCATGAGAGCAATGGTATAGACATAATTGTAGCCTTGCTTCTGATAGAAATTAAGTCCTTAGGCAAGAACAGAATTGATCTAGTACTAGAGTTGAAGGTAAGACTGAATGTCAAGAATGTCTCACATCACTTGGTAGTTAGTCAAATCTTGTTTTTCCTCTTTGGTAAATCATTCAAATTCTTTAAAGAGTGTCATAAATATTAATAAATCATTTTTTTAAAAACTGTCTTAAATACAAGAACATTTTAGCATTAAAACTAATGTAAATGATATTTTTAATTTGTTATTGCATGTAGAATAATGCATCCAAGCTTCTGCTGGCTATTATGGAGAGTAGACATGACAGTGAAAATGCTGAAAGGATTTTAAGTAACATGAGGACAAAACAACTGGTGGGTACTGTTTTACACTTTTTACTTGCATTTTTCTTGGATTGCTTGTTGACATGTTCTCAATTGTTTCTTAGATCTTCTCTTATTTTTTTATCCTGATCCTTTTATTAACAGAATCAGCATGTTTTAAAAAGGCACCATTTCTATATTAATCTAAGGCATGATACTGTGTGGTTCTAAGTAGTTGCATTCAATTAGTCTCAGGCATGACTCCGGTCCCCTCTTATACTGTACACTGCTATAAAATGATTAATGTTCGCTCATTTCTAAATAGAATAATAGTTGGGTATTTTAAAGTAAAAGACTGTTACTAAGTTATTAACAGATCAGTACACTATGAAATGTTTAGTATTTGTTGCTGGTTTGAACAATTTTTCAAACTTTGTAGGAACTGAAACTAACCAGCTACTAATAATAATCTTCTTACCATGTCACACACCTGAGTTTTTAATCTACATTTGACTTTTTTTTTTCTAAACCTCTAGTTTCATGTTAGGCTACATTACCCAAACTCCTTTGTTAACTTTCTACTATTTTTACCTCATCCTTCTAATCTTTTTTTTGTTGGCTTAGTTTACAGGAAGCCATATTGGTGTCTGGACAAAATATACCCTGGACAAATCAAGGGGGGGATGGGGGGAGGGTGTTGAGAGAGAATTCCAGTTGGTTTTTGTTGTCTTTTTTGTCCATAAGCTGTCATGTTACTTTATAACATCTCATTCTCTGTGTTAGGCTGCATAACTTAATTTTAACCCCTTTGTGTTTTAACTTGTAAACAGGTAGAATCAATACAGCAGGTTTTTCAACAGGCCATTGCTTTTGGCCACATTGTAGCAGATAATGTTTCACATCCTGAAGAGGTTTTCTAAATCCATTCAGTGTTTTATGTTTTACTCTGTTTTTTATTTCTGAAAAAAAAGATCATTCATTTTCATTTACAAGGTGAAGTGACATAAACACATGAAAAATGAACAGAGAAAAACAATAGATATAAAAAATCCTTCACTGTCTTCTTCATAACAAGATGAACTCTGAATGTGTTCATGTCACTGTAAATCTCATCATTGTCACCATGTTGTGAGTGCAAGCTGGTAGCTTCTCTAAAAACATTGGCTTAAAACTATCATGTGCAGCTTCATTTTACATCGATCTGTTCTTGCATTTTTAAGAGGTTCAATTCATATATCTAGCTTAGATCATCTCATCTATTGTTAGAATAGTTACATGTCTAAGTTAATTTCTGTTTAAGTTTCATGCTGTTTAGCTAGCTCTTTTAGTGTACCTATTTTTATGTCAAGTGTTGATGCTTGTGTTAGTTTGATTACACAATACTTTTTACCTACCTGTAAATAGGCAAAGAAGTGAAATCATTTTAATTAAAGCTCATGTAGAACAATCAAAACTATGAGGTTTATTTTTCAAGCATGAGTTATGTTTTAAACATTTGTTAATACTTATCTTAAAAACTATTAACTACAAAAGACAGATTAGCAACTTGAACCTGTATTTTTGTGTTATAATATGTATAATATGTAATTGTTCATAGGTAAATCATTATAGAAACCATTATCAAAAACCTACTTATGGTTGTATAGGTTTAAAACAAAATACCTACGTTTAAAACCCAGTTGTAAAATATCCTTTTTTTCTTAATCAAAAGTAATCTGAACTAAAAATAGCAATTATCCTATTAGTTTTGCTGTCAGCAGTTATTTCTTCAGTTTTAATGTTGATTTTATTGTCAACTTCTATCTGTAGTGCTGTAAATATCTCTAAAATAAATCTCTCACTTCTATCTTTGTTTATCTTTCTTTATATATTGTACATCTTTTTCATATTGTAAATTCTCTTGGTCTGTTAGCAATTGTTATCTTATTGACCATTAAAATTTATTAACTTTGCATTGTAAATCATTTTCATAAATAATATTTAAAACTTCATCCACTTCTCTAAACATTTACTATAATCTATCATTGTTTCAATTAAGTATAAATTTTAATCATGCATCAATATTTTTCTGCATTTCTATCATCAAGGTGATGTGTTGTATAAAATGTGTGACTGTTTTTGGCTTTTACTGCTACCACTTTGTAATTGATTTTGTAAACTTAACATAAAAAATAAATATTGCTGTATTGAATATAAAACACGTTAAACCAAATGTTAAATTTCCACTAGATGGACATTGCGATACAAGCTTTTCATTCAGAGGACCCAGGTAAAGATGAGACAGCTAGATACGACATGGATGACGAGGATGACAATGTGGAGGAGAACAACACATCACCCAAAGCAGTCGGCCACAACATTTATATCTTGGCTCATCAGGTCAGTTCAACAGCTTTTCTTGGTTAAAAACATAAAGAGGTCTAATGCTAACCAAGACCAATAAATTTGGTTGTACCTTTTAAAACTGTACATGAGCTCCATCATTGATGCCAGTATATGAACTGAGCACCAACTAACATTTCTCTAGATCAAATGGTAGGTATGGGGAGTCTTATTGGTTGTTCTGTGATCATTATACTTCTCAAACTGTTCAAACTTTACTTTTTCAAAATAGTTTTTATTTGCTAAAACAAAAGATTGTATTATGTTTATTTTAGCTATCCCAACACAACAAAGAATTATCCGACCTGTTAAGACCTGGAGGCTATGATTTGTTTGGTGACCAGGCCTTGGAGTATTATCATAAACACACAGCCCAGATTGAGGTCAGCAGACAACATACTCATTTTGTTTTAAATACAGTTTTAAAGACTTTCTCTTCATAACCAATCAATTGTGGGGTTTTTTTTAAATAGCCTATTGTACTTGTAAAACTTGAAATAGTTCCATAGCTAAACCACTTTGTAATCCTAACACATTAATATTGATATCAATGAATACTGACTTGATTCTGTTTTTCTATTCTACTTTAATAGATTGTCCGTCAAGACCGCACCATGGAGAGGATTGTCTTTCCTATACCCGAGATCTGTGAATACCTGACCAAGGAAACAAAACTCAATGTCTTTAAAAGGGCAGAAAGAGATGAGCAGGGCAGTAAAGTGGCAGATTTTTTCAGCAGACATAATGAGATGTTTAGCGAGATGAAGTGGCAGAAAAAGTTACGAAGTGAGTAGAAACTTTTATAAACCATGTTCATATTCACCACCCCATCTAACTAATGTCTCAGTATCTTTAATTATTTGTATACTTTTTGTTATTATGTGGTTTTTTTTTTTTTAAAACTATTTACATTAATAAATAAATATCATCATTGAATCATTTTTTTCCACAGTGCAACCAGTTATGTTTTGGTTTAGTAGCCATATGGGGCTTTGGAACAGCATTTCTTTCAGCTGTGCTGTCATCATCAACTTGCTGGTGGCCATCTTTTATCCATACAACACACTGGATTTTCGTAAGTTATATCATTTTTTACAGATACTTCAAAATACATTATTTATCTCACACAAAACATTACAGACCAATTTTGTGTATAAATGCTTTTTATTTTATCGTTTTAACATAAGTGGTTTATTTTTTTTATTTTTTTAAAGTGCCGTGATTAAAAATGCGCTGACTTTTCACTCTGCCATGAGGGAAGTAAAATAGTTTTGATGCCCCAGCTGGTAGAGGGTTTTAAGTAAAATGTTTATATTTTTCTTTTTCAAAGTAACAAAGCAAACCTTTCAATTTTTTTAGATTCTGTTGGTGTTAGGTTTAATGGTCTGTTATGGGGAGCAGTAATGATTTGCACAGCTGTTGTTGTTTTCTTCCCCCATCCAATGGGGTTTAAAACCCTGCTGGCCTCGATCATATTACGTTTTGTGTGTACATTTGGGCTGAGGATAACACTGTTCCTGCTAGGACTAATCAATGTAAGATTTTTGTCTTATTGTATTGTTCTTTTTAATTCACTATTTTTTGCTATGAAAATTTTTGACTCCTAGAATCATACAGTGTTTTGAAAAATAAATTATAAAAATGACAAAAAATAATAGATCTGATTTGTTATATTTAAAATTTGTTATTTATTCATGGTACTTTTTGTTTTTTCCAGGTCAAAATTCAATGCATTAAACCTAGTAGTAAGATAGTAGTTTGACTATTTGAATGTAAACATTAACTGTTTTTCAATTTCAGTTACTCAATAAATTTGTGTTCATGGTTAGCCTGCTAGGAAACAGAGGAGTTCTAATCAAACCAGTGAATGAAATTCTCTCAGATTTTGAAATGGTCTACCACATTGGCTATTTCATTCTTTGTGCTCTGGGATTTTTCTTTCATGAGTTTTTCTTCAGTCTCTTGGTGAGTGACTTGTCTATTATAACCTTTTAGCCAGCAGTAAAAGCTTCTATTGATAGAAGGAAGGCAGAAGACCTTTTTTTTAAATTTCAGATTTATTCTATAGATCCTACTCTTATAAAAACAATTTTAACATTGATATTCATACATTTATATAATATAGACCTCAAAAATATTTTGGTAATCTTGCAAAAATGGATAGCAACACATCACCTGTATCATTAACAACTAGTGTAAAATTGTAAGCCAAAATGTGTTTTATCTTGAAATGTGTTCATTTCTGTCTTGTTAAGTGAAAACCTTTTGGTATTCTTTGGTTGACAGCTCCTAGATGTGGTATACAGAGAGGAAACCTTACTCAATGTTATCAAGTCGGTCACAAGAAATGGACGCTCCATCCTTTTAACCACAGTCCTGGCTGTCATCCTGATTTACCTGTTTTCAATCATTGGGTTTATCTCCTTCCAAGATGATTTCCTCATGGAAGTGGAACCACAAAATGTGGCTAGGATTGAACATAGTGATCACACCAATCATAGTAAGCATTTGTATAGTTTTTTATTCCTGCTTTAAACTAATCATAGATTCTCTTGAATATAGTTCAACTAGTACTTTAAGATTTTGTAACTATTTGTATGAATCTTTGTATTGTCTGAAAAGAGTTGTGTGGGTTGATTCTCTCTCCTACCCTCCCATTTTCCTAAAGTTAAGTAACATGCTCTATTTTACTTGGTTTTTTTTTTTAATAAAATGTTTACATAATATGTTGTTTATTTCACAATTTATGTATGTAACAAAATGTTGGATGTTATATCTATACTTGAACCAAAAAAAATTGTCTTGCATTACTCTTAATGTAAAATACATGTTTTTCATTTGAATGTTTTCTCATACAGCAGCTGTGAACGCTACCAGTTGTGCTGCTGATGGCACTAACTGTACTGAAGCAGAAGAGTCCTATATTTCACAAATATTGCACAGTGCCAAATGTATGTTCATTTGTTCATTTTTTTAAATTAAAAACTGTCACACATACAGTATATAAATCATTTGATCTAAAACAAAATCTCATCATGAAGTAATTTTTACAATGTTTACTTGAAGATATTTATTTTTAAAATGAAATTAAATATTTTATTTAAATTTAATGCAGACTTAATATAATTAAATATTGCACAAAGCATGTGCATAATAATGTGTGGGGAAAATGTAAATTCTTCCTACAGGGGACAGCTATGCTGAAGGAGAGGTAGAAGAAGGTGGAGAAAAAATGCGAGCCTGCGACTCTTTAATCATGTGCATTATCACCAGCATTAATCAAGGTTTACGTAATGGTGGAGGCATAGGGGATGTTTTAAGAAAACCTGGCAAACATGTAAGTCAATCTACTGTAAGAGACCAGATCTCCTACACCTGTCAATCTATGTAAAAAAAGTAATAGTTAACCCTTTATTGTCCATGCATTTTTTGCATTTCTACTTAGTTCATTCAAACAAAGATAAGTAAACCTAGGTTGTTTACATTTACAAAAACATTTTGTTTGGAAAGGAAATTTATAAGCAGTTGCTAGTATAATTCAGATGTAACACTTAGTCTGTAAATGTTTATTGTTAGATATTTTTTAATATACGAACTGGTCTACAATCTCAGGTCTGCGCTAGCTAATCAAACTAAGATGTAAAGAGTTTATACTAACATGTTCTTCCTATTAAAATTGTTTTTGTTTCTTCCCTGCCTAATTACAGGAGCCACTGTTCCTAGCTAGAGTGGTCTATGATCTGCTCTTTTTCTTCATTGTCATTATTATTGTGCTCAACTTGATCTTTGGTGTTATCATTGACACATTTGCCGATCTCAGGAGTGAAAAACAGACAAAAGATGAAATCCTTCGGAATACATGTTTCATATGTGGTGAGTTACATAATGACATTAACTCCTATTATATTCTGTAACAAATAATACATTTACTCCCCACAGAGTATATACTGTGAAAAAATTAATATTGCTATTATTTAATAGACTACTTACAATACTCCTAGAAATAATTAATTTTTTAACGAAATAACCATTTTGTCTCAGGTCTGGATAGAGCAGCTTTTGACAATCGTTCAGTGACATTTGAAGACCATGTCAAACATGAACACAACATGTGGCACTACCTGTACTTCATTGTCCTGGTCAGAGTCAAGGATCCAACGGAATTCACTGGTCCAGAGAGTTATGTCGACGCTATGATCAAGGTAGGCTACTTTTTCAGTTTACTTGGTATTGAGACTTTTAAAACTATTCTTTGTTCGAAGGTTCTGTTTAAAAACAGTTTATTGTTGATTATTCATAAAAAGTTTTCATTCTTTAAAACTAAAATAAATTTTTTGGTAGAATTTGCAACTTCTTGTTCCAAAAATATATACTATGTACTTTTTTGTAAACAATGTAGCAAAATTATCAATTTAACTTGCATATCTTTGCAATAATGTAGTATAAAAAGTAACCATTAATCTACAGGAGCGTAACCTGGAATGGTTCCCGCGCATGCGAGCCATGTCACTGGCAGCTGAGGACAGTGAGGGGGAGCAGAATGAAATCAGAAACCTGCAAGCACAGCTAGACTTAACAACAAGACTTGTACAGAAACTTTCTGGACAACTTACTGAGCTCAAAGAACAAGTTAGTCTCATTAAGCATTTTAAAATAATTAACTAGCAGAAGGGGGCTTAACATTTATTTACTAGTTTGTCACCAATGGGACAGAGTGGTTGCGGGGTATAGTACATGATTTCCAACCCAAAAGTCTCAAGCCCAGTTCCCAAACATGACCTTTGTAGGACATCTTTGAGTCCACCTAACTCAGAACTGAACTAATTGTGAATAGAGGAGGTTGAGAAGTGTTGAGTTCTGCATTTAGCAATGGATTTGACTGATAAGAAATATTTTTAAGAGTAAAAATTAATACATTATTTTTTTTAAATCAACAGATGACTGAGCAAAGAAAACAAAAACAACGCTTTGGACTCCTTCAGAGTAATCCTGTTCCAATGTCTATACCAACACAGTTTTAACTCAAGTTACAAATGCTGTGTAATTGCTGCAAATTTTTTTACAAATTTTTAATTTATGGAAGTGTTTTAGTCCTTTAAATAATCTGTGTTTATGAGTAATATTTTAGTCAGTTTCATATTATAATTAAAAAGCATAATTTCCTGTATTTAAACCTCACTTTTTACCTGTTTTGTGTTTAAAAAGCTTTTAATATTTGTTGTTTAAAAAATGTTTTATTTGTAAAGTGATGAAGCATTATATATGATTAGAATATTTTAAAATGCAGCTAGATTTTTACAATGTAGCTGAGATTGTAGTTGGCTTTTCCAGTAATCAAAACAAGTGTTTCTTTCTTCTTCACCTGCTTTTTCCTATTTGCCAAATAGAAACAAATGTGATGTGTTCAAATGGTTTTTATATCTATTTTAAGCACTATAATTCAGCGACATTTTTTTTAAAGCCATAAATTGTTTATTTATTGAAATCTTTTTAAGGTTAAATATTTGATTTTTAGTTAAGTAAAATACAAAGTTATATTGCAAAGAGAAGTTTGGGTGTTTTACTAATATTCATATATTAATTTGAATAGTGTATTCTATTATGAAAGTTTCAAATACTGAACTATGTCATAAAGAATAAATAGGCATGCCTTGTTAAAGATTTTATTTTAAAATTGTTGCTGTATTTAAGAACAAACAAGTGTTCAGATTTATCTTCTCTTTTTTTGGCCTTTGTATTTACATTCCAGATATTGACTATGCAATTGTTGGTGATACAGTTAACAAAAACTGATGTGACTAATAATTTTGGCTTCTGCTTTCTACTTGAACCCTGGAAGTTTACAGTGTGACCAATAGTATAAAAAAAATAATTTTTAAACGTCAATAGTTTCATATAAAGTTCTATGTAATAAATATGGCAATGTCATATAGCAGTTCTACTAAAGAACTTTTAAATGTTTTTCAGTAATTTACTATAGAATATCCCCACTACATAATGTTTAGCTTCTAATATATTTTTTTAAAAAACCATAGTAGCAAAATGCTACTGCTTACCCACTTGTAAATCTAACACTGCCTAAACATTTTTGCCTACATCTGCTGCCATGTTCTACAATACATGAGCCATTTATATTCATTTTTAGTTATATAAATCATTTTTCTGAATTTGAAATTTTTTTCCATGAAAATGTTCAGAACTTGTAGCCTACACAAGAACTACTTATTTGTTTAACCATCATCTACTTAGCAGCACTAATAAACTATACAATCATGATCACTAGAATAAAGTCATTCATTGAAACTAAATGTCTAACACCAATAGTCAGCCCACTATTATCTGTGTTATTAAATGATCACATCTATCTAATATATTATCTGCCATTTTCAAAATGTGTATTTGCCATTGTGCTATTCTTTATGTGATTAGGTCATTTCATATGTGAGTTGCTGTCCATAGACACATTTCTCTGTGATCTTTTTATTTACCCATGTATTTCGTTGTATGATATACATTAATCTTGTTTATTGGAACATAGATAATGTTTTATGTATGGTGGTATTTAATTTTAGAGAATGAGGCCAAACAGAAATATTTTATTGTAAGTAGACCTATCTTCCCGAGAAACTGGAAATGCTTTCATAATCAAAATCTCTATTCACATTTCCTATACTCTTTATTTCTTTCATATGAATAAAATGAGAATCAGTCCTTATATTTTTGTTTTGTATTTTATTTAAAAAATATAAAAAAACAGAATCAAAACAAATAATCCTCAAAATTATGAGTTTTGAAATAGTTTGATTCAGTTAACACTAGATGCCTTCATTATATGATAATTTTTTAAAAATGTCCAGATAGATGAGATAGAAACTAGGGTTGCACTTTGATACTGGCAGTAACAAAATGGCAGGTGCTTCGTCTTTCTTCTTGTTCATTGTAATATAATGGAGGGGTATTTCCTCCTATAATTTGGACTCATGACGTCAGCATGCTTTTTTTTTCTGGATTTGCTTCCAGCTAATAACAATCTGCAGGGCAGTAGTTTTTTAGTTTTCTCACCTAGATGGGCTGCTGTCGCCAGTTAACGAACCTCCTCTGCCCGGTGTCCGAACTCACGGACTTTTGGTGTTAGCAGTCATGCATCCTCCAGCCTAACCACCGTACACTGTCAGGGCCATTTGGTGGATTTTTTCAGCTGGCATGTATAGGCCTACTTGTTAAGTTATCAAAATACCACCCCCCCCCCCCACCCCATTTATTCTAAGCTTTTATTCAGTACACAATGTCTGTTTTTTTTAAGGGTTTTTTTTTTGTGGGATGTGGCCAATCTTGTAACTTAATTTTAACCCACTTTTATAGTAGCAATTTCGTTCAGACTTTTTTGATAGATTAGTCTCCAGGCTAAGTATGATTAGACATGATAGCTATTAAAATTTAATTTATATATTACTAAATTCAATATTACAGGGGAAATAACAAGGTTAAATACCCGCGATCGTTCCATTAGCTGGCCGTTGACAATGAACTGTTGTTTGTTTTCGTGCGGAGTCAAAAGGGCCCAGACAAAAGGGCTCCCTCAAATAAGACTGCTGACAAAACGGCTCCCGACAGAGGGGCCCCTGTCAATCTGATTCCCGTACAGAGAATGTCTCCGAGCGAAACGGCCCCATTCCATTTGAACCCTTTCAGTAGGACCCTTTCATCAATGCTATTCTCTACAAATAATACAACGTATGAAGATCTTGGTCGGCAAGTCTTATTTTTACATTATTTTATTTGGTATAAGTAATAGTTTTTAAATTAAAGGGTCATTTAATTATAACGTCCATCAAACGTATCGGTTGTGGGCTGTTTCAACTCAGTGTGGGGGGGGGGGGGGGGGGGGACGGATAAGTCCACGCGGTACATTTGTCTTCCGTACGCTTTTAGGTTTTAAAAACAAAGTGTCGTTTATCCTGTAAATATCAAGTATTTTATAGATTTAACCTTCTGCGCTTGCTTTTAGGCAACAGGTCTTCAAGGGTGTCAATAGAACATAAGAATTTTAAAATTGGTTCAATTTAGCTGTTAAAGCTCGATTTGTTTTTGAATTGCTGTTGATTCATGAAAAAGTATCTCATTCATGTATTCAAAAGACGTTATGATGGTGAAAGTAGATACAGGTTCAGTGTTTCTTCCAGGCATCTCTTCGGGGGAGGGGGGGGGTTGTCTGGAGCTAATATGTCGGAAGTCATTTTGTCTGGAGCCAATATGTTGTGAGCTCTTTGCCGAGAGCCAACATGTCGGGATTCAAAATCGGGAGCCTTTTTATCGGCAGTCCATATGTCGGGAGCTCATTTGGCGGTAGAAAAAATGTTGGGGTTATTTTGGCTGGGTCGTCAGTGCACCGCCCCCCCCCCGGCTGAGTGATTAATTACTTGAGCGTTGACCACAAACTAAGCAGGGGCAGTTGATTGTCTTTTATGCAAGCTACAGATAGGCCCTATCTGATAGGGATTTAACACACATTTTCTGGAAGAGAAAAAACCCACTGGAATTTTTCTGAGAAGTAGCCTACTCATGTCCAGTCGCTACTTTAGATGTCAGCCTTTTTTTCATTGTCAACCTTATGTCAATGTCAGCCTTTTGACTTTGTCGGCCTTTTGTCCTGATTCCGGTGGTCGCAGAGTTTCTTCCAGGCATCTCTTCGGGAGAAAAAAGTCTGGAAGAAACACTTTGATGTCGGCTCTCAGGCGTAAAAATATCTGTGAGTAGCAGCTTACCAGACTGATCGAATCGTTATAGTTGGTACTTAATCCTGTTATCTCCTTTTATGTTATCGGGTACAGGATTCAATAAGGTAATTTATCTATAAATTAATTTTTAATGATGATATTAATATCTAATTAGAATGACAAAGGCTTGGTCTATTCTTGTGTAGTCTTTGGAGGCTGAAGTATGACGTCATTATTGGGGGGAGTCTGGCTTTTTGTGACGATACGTGACGGTCGAGAGTAGGGAGGTGAAATCGTCAAGAAAGGGTAACGTTATTTATGGATGATCGGGAACAAACAATCATTTATGTATAAATACAGGTCCCTGGTGGGTATTAGCAGAGTTTCTTCCAGGCATCTCTTCGGGGGAGGGGAGGGGGGAAGAGCCCCCCCCCCCTCCGAAGACAGTCTAACCCCCCCGTTTTGACGTTAACAAATATGAGGACGCTGAAAATCATATCAAACATAATCCCAGATATCTAAGTTACATTATAGATTAGCCCATTTGTTGAAGGTTGCGTGACAGAGCGCTTGTCGTGGATGGATGGTAAAGGGTAATCTATTTATTACGTCCACACAAGGGGGGGGGGTCGGGTCAATGTGGACGTCCACATGTTGAATTAAACAACAAAATACTTACATTTGAAAGTAATTTTTAAAAATATAAAAAAAAAAAACTGCACATACAATTAGGTTATACTATACATTAAGTCGGCAGTTCTTGTGTTAAATGTATCAGAAATGGCTATATACCGCCCGCCTTAGAAAAAAAGGCGATTTTTTTTTACAAGCGGGAGGGGGGGGGGGTCATTGACCGCGGCAATTTTCTAAAACAATTCTTGGTATTTCAAGTTCATTTTTAAGCATTTCAAACAATCGTAACTAAATTATAGTAGGCATACAATCTTTATTTTGTGTCAAAGCCTAAAATTATGTAGATCTAGTATTTTTTTCAGTAAAAAAAAAAACCCAAAATAACCACGTTGCAATTTAGATAGGCCCTATTTAAATAGCGCGTGTATAATGTGCTCGCTTGTTCAGGTAGGGCTAAGGTTCAGCGCGAACATACAAAAGGGGAGAGGTGGTTTGTTATGGAGACACGTGTAACGTAGAGTAAAAGTAATATAATGACGTCATGTTGATTATCCAATTCATCCTAACCTCTATAGTCTCTACAAAATGACATTTAAAAAGTTCGGTCTACAGCATCTTCAATAGAAAAATAATTAATAGATGTTATCGAAAATATCAAATCCCTATATAACATCATCAGTTAATAATACAGCAATGTACACATTACATGTTAATGAATCAGTGACTTTGCAGCTTGTTTTCAGAGGTCTTTACTAAATTTTTGTGGACGTCAACAATGGGGGGAGGGGGGTGTTCGTCGAAAGTGCACGCGTGTGGACGGGGGTAGGGGGTGTCAAAAATTCCAAATTTTTGTGGACGTTATAAATGGATGACCCCTAAGGCAGGGGTGGACTGGACCCTGGGACAAGTCGGGGGGGGGGGGCGATATGGTATTATAATAAGCCTATATTAGAATAATTGCTTTGATTACATTACTTACAACCCCGGGTGCGTACTTTCCATTTTAATTTTTTTTTTTACCACGATGCCCAGCTTAGCGGTCCTCATGCTTGGATGAGGAAAGAATGTACAACAAAAATTAAGTCAGAGGGGCAGCTTTCCCCCTTGTGCCACTTGGACATAGCCAGTCCACCCCTGATGGTAGGGCCTTTGGGCCGGCTGAGTTGTGGTACCTAAAAGAAAAGAGGATGGGTAGCTGAATAAGTGGAATGGTAGGACAGCTCAGTAGACCGCTGGCTACAGGTTTTGAATGGTTTAAATGTTGTTGTTGTTGTTGTTTTGGGGTTTAAAGTCCGCTTTCAAACTTACGTTTATATCGCAGACTATTTTTGGTGGTTAGTTCGTGGTTTTTGTGTATATACAGTTTGGTTTCATTTGTTTTCCTTTCATTTTTGGGTGTAATTTTTTTTTATTGTGCGGGATTTGTATTTTGTTATTGGGTGAATATTATTTTATCTTTACAGCTTATTAGACTGATTCTTCGGTTTTGTGCACATATTTTTTTACCAGGCTAAGCAGAGTGGATGGGGCGTCCATAGCCAGTAATGTTTCTGTTGTTAGTAATGTGTTTTTGTTTATCTGGAAGTAGTTGATGAGTTCTTTTCTTTGATTGTTGTATGCCTTACAGTGTATTAGGTAGTGGTCTATTGTGTTTATTTCATTGCAGGTGTGGCACCATTTCTTTGTGTGAATGAAGGAGGCTGAACCTAGACGCAGCCTTGTAATTTTTTTATTAATGGGTGGCCGTTGGTCTTCTGTAACTTGCAGTCTCCCGTCGGGTGGACGTAGTATGTTGTGGGCGTGCCTACCCTTGTCGCTTGCGTTCCATTTTTGAATCCATTCTTCTTTTATTTGTTTCTTTATAGTAGCCTTCATTTCGGAATAGCCTATTCCCGTTTTCACAATAGCTCTGGATTCCACTCCCTTTTTAGCAGCTTTGTCGGCATTCTCGTTGCCTTGTATGCCGATATGGGAGGGAATCCAGATCATTTGCACCGAGCGACCCCTTTGTTTCCACTCGGAGCATTTATGAAGAATTTCTTCTACAATGTCTTCCCTGCAGCATTCTCCCCCTTTAATGGCCTGTAATGCTGACAGGGAGTCGGATAATATGCTGATGCTGGTGTGTGGGGTTGTTGGGGTGTACTCGAGGGCCATAAGGATGGCCGTTAGTTCGGCAGTGAAAATGGAGGCGCCGTCTGTCAGCCTAAAGCTTTTGGAGTGGTTGAGGTGGGGGATGTGGAACCCTGCTCCCACTTTCTCGTTTATTTTTGATCCGTCTGTGTAGATGGTTAGGCTATTGGTTGTTATCCTTTCTATCTCATTTGAAGCCTCAATACGGGCCATTACTGGGTCCTCTTTTTTATTTATCTGATTGTGCAGGTCTGTGTGTAATGATGGGGTTGTCAGTTCCCACGGGGGTACTATAGGTTTGTGGATGACTAAGTTTTGATCCGCGATTGAGGTTTGGTTGCAGGATTCCAGTTCCCCCGGTGTTTTCCAGCTGGCGGGGGGGCTGAATTTCCCAATGGGGATTCCCCATGCCCTGGGTAGCACTGGTAGGAAGGCCGCTGAGGTTGGGTGGTTTTGATGTTTTACTTTGGCCCAGTAGTTTAGCCTGAGTTCCTTCCTGCGGAGTGAGAGGGGGATTACTCCCAGGAGGACCTCTAGGGCTTCTTTGGAAGTACTACTATTGCAACCGGCAATTATGTTAAGGGCCTGGTTCTGTATTTTGTCGAGGGTTTTTTTTGTGTAGTTTGATGCCGAGTCATAGACTATGCTGGCATAGTCTATTTTGCCCCTTACAAACGATTTGTAGAAGGTTAACAGGCACTCAGTCCTGGCACCCCAGCTGTGACCTTTTAGGTATCTCATCATATTGAGCATACCCTTGCAGCTTTGTGCTATGCCTTCTATATGTGTGTTCCAGGTCAGCATGGGGTCAAGGGTGACTCCTAGGAACCTTGTGGCCTGGGCTATTTTTATGACTGTATTGTTAATTTTTAGTGAGACCTGTTTGGTGATGGTGCGTGATTTTTTGTGAGTGAAGACCATTCCCACTGTTTTGGCTGCGTTTATCTTGAAACCCCATTGGTTCATCCACTCCATCATTTTATCCAACTGAGCCTGTAACTCCCTGTTAATTTTAGTAATGGACTTGCCTGAACGCCATGTGGAGGAGTCGTCAGCATATTGGGACAGGGAGTTCTTTACGTCCATGACTTCCCTATCTAGGTCATGACACTAGATGTCGCTAATATACATTTTAGATGTCGCATACAATGCTAACTAATATAAACAAACATTGCTGCTAAATATTTTATTAATTAACATACAAAGAAACTTTGTATTGGTAAAAAATTATATCAATAATATTTTTAAGCTTGTAGGAAGACAATAGTTGCAAATGTTTAGCTTATTAAATAATATTTTTTAACAGCTGTAAGTAGGCTTGGATGAAAATGGCTGGCAAAATCTAGTCTACAGACTCACAGACGGAATTCCAACATATTATTTAAAAGTGAAAGCAGGTTTTATTATTTAATTTTAGTAAGTTCTTAACTCTATCAATGTACGTTCCTGTATCTATACGCTGTTGTCTGTTACTCTAATGATTAATTAGGCTGTACAAATGCTAGATTCTAGATCTATGATCTAATCTAGCACTGAGTATTCAATCACTCTTCACTCAGTGTTTCTATTTCTGTTATTTCACACTCTTCAGTTATCAAGTCTTACTCTTACTTATTACTTAAGTTCTTAACTTAATCATTAATCCGATTCTACTTTTAGATCTAGAGATCTACGTCGTCTAGATCTAGATTTCTTTCTAGTCTAGCTCTAGACTTTAATTATTTATTGTAGATCGAGAATGTATTCAAGTTAACTTTAGTTAAGTAATTGTGTAGATTAGTGTAGATTGTAGAATGTAGGTAGTAGGTAGATATATAATAAAATAATATATATTCTAATTTCTAGATCTAGTCTGATCTAGATCTAGTACTAAGAATAAGGTCTAAGAGACTATGACTAACACACTCTAAAAATTAAGACTCTAAAATTGATATCTAATTCTAGAATATACTGTTCACATTCTTCTAACCTAGTGAGTACTACTGCTGTGACTGTCTTAGTCTTTAGTAATAGTATCTCTATCTCTATATTCTCTTCATGGACAAGACGGTGCAAGCTGACTATCTAACCCTCCTCCCGCCCCCTCCCTTGCTCTTCGGGCATTCGCAACAGACCCCACCAGTCTGGTGAGCTGTGGTTCACCCCGAATGTTTACAATCTAGCCAGGTCGAATTAGTGACGGCTATTAGGGGCAGATAATTTAGCTTTTAAAACGATTTGAAGGTAAGAAGTTCTGCTTGATCTTTTTATTGTCGTCTGTAAACTGCTAAACTGTCGTCACGGATGGCCGCTTTCACTGGGGGATGGAGGGGGGGGGGGAATGGGTAGTGTCGAATTCACAAATTGCCAATGATACGCTGTGGGTCGGCTCATACTCTATATTTAGCACTAGCAGTCTAGACTCTGGTGAGTCTAGTCTACATTCTTCACATTACCATTCATTACATGATTACAGTGATGACTTATAATAACAAGTATACTTCTACTAGATCTACACTACATACACACTGTGATGGGGGAGGGTTATATATATATTATGTATGATACTTCAACTATAATCTCTATACGTTCTGGTATCTATATTCAGAATACTGTTATTATCACTGCAACTATATTATACTTGTGAAGGATGGGTATCACTCTTATTTTCTGCAGACACTAATTAACAATGTCAACAACTTCGTTTATGAAATAACATTAACTTTATTAACACACACTTATAGATCATTTGCACAATATCAAAGAATACGTGCACCTTCGACTATAGCTAACCCCCAACTAACTTCACTGCTACGTCCTATGTCATCGGTACATTGTCACGTCATGCTCACGTCACACTCGCGCCACAAATATTTTATTGAACACGGGCACAATAATCTCGCACCAAATCGTCTACCGTCAAGTTCAAACCATCCCTAGTAACCTCTACTAGTCTAGTCTAATTCTATATATCTACGCTATGACACACACCTACACAGTAAATAGTTTAGAAATACAGGTCATAAATCTCCTCTCTTTTGTTAGTTAGTATAGTTGTAAGTAAGAGCTTAAAAAAATACTAATTACTAATGTTCCTTTTACTTTAAATAAATACACACAGTGCGCTGTATGTAATGAATTGATAATTTTTTTAGGGGTGGTACACATAGCAACCTATTATTAAATAGATTAAGACATTCAGTTGAGGGCGAGCCACATAATTCCCAGCATACATAGCTAACAAAACTTAAACTGTAATTGTTTTTGCAGTTTTAAATAGCGTGGAGGCTGGAAAATAGGCTTAGGTTCAATTTAAGAAAAAACAAAACAAAAAAAACTAACAGATTATTACTGGGGGTAATGCCCAATCAAGTACTGAAATTTTTAAAATGAACTATGACATTTCTTTAACAGGTTTGAAATGGTGCTTTACTTTTATAACATTTTCAGCAACTATTATGTTTTTTTCATTATTTCCCCATAATGATCTGTGCCTTTATTTCACATGTTAAAATTTTTTGTTTTAGAAATTTATTTATTTATGACATTGTAATTTAATGTAATGTAAAGAGTTTTTCAGCTTGTACTTGTATAGAAAATGTTTAATTTATGACATTATCATATCACTCATACTGCTTTTCATCTCTAGAGAAATGTGCTGTTATATCTTACTATTTTCAGCTAAATCTAACTACTGAAATATTTCTAAGAAAGTCAGTGTTGCTCATGCACTAAAACTAAAAGGATTATTTTTTTTCTCTTCAGAATCTAAAACAAAGAATGACTGCTTCACACTATTAGAGAAAGTATCATCAAAAGATCAGTAGTTAAAGCCTGCCAGCCTAGCCTGTGTGTCTGAACTTCAAAATTTAACAATACAGATTTGTTGTGGATCTACTTACACAAATACATTTTTTAAAATTGAACAACATAGGGACATCTTACAGTTACACAATATCTAGATTATGTTAAACTAATTGTTTTAATCAAATGAACAATATTTAAAAGATGCAGTTATATTTTTGCCTTATGGTGATTTACTATAAATAGCAGCTGCTGTTCATGGGTAATCTTTACCTCTCTAAAGTGCTAGGATTACACTGATTCAAATATAACTTTCACTCAGACAGTTGTTGTATAAACTTTGGAAATATGATGAAGAAACTAAAAAGAAGATTGTCCTTGACATTAAATAAACGGGGTCGTGCCTTGGATGAGAGTTTGTCTGAATTAGCTGAACAAATGACCATAGATGATGTGGCAGCATTAAATCAACAACAAACTTTACAACATCAGAGTTTCCATTTCCATCGTAGCCAACCACATCTTGACCAAATGAGAGTTCCATCTGCCCCATCCCTGCATTATCACCTCCCCACCAGCAAGGAAGAACCAGAAGATTCCCTTGGACCAATTAGAACCTTTCAAGAAAATGGTGAGTAGAGTTTTTTCTTTAAATTTATTGCTATATACACCAGCTCAGTTATTTATCACAAAAAGAGTTTTTTCTCCTTTAGATCGATAGTTGTGTATGAACTATAGAACACACATCATGATATGTATTTAAAAAATAAGAGAAGACGCTTTAAATTGTTTTCTACTTGCTGTACATTGTGGTAAACTTTGCTCAGTTTAAGATTAGCTTAAAGGCTTAGGATATATTTAACTGGACCATCATTTGAAAACTTGAAGCCTACTTAATCTAATGCACATTCACTTAAACATTGATCTAATTTTTGTCATTAGATTCTCTGCTTGTCCATAGAATTGAATCATACTTATAGACAGACCTTTGTCTTTTTTTAAAATATGTGTTGTTCTTTTTTAAAGATGTCAAAATTAAAATGTCACTTCATTTTTTATAATTCACAAAGGCTAAGTCACTCAAGCATTATGTTACTCAAATTAAAACATTGTTAAATTTCTAATAGAAAAATAATCAAAGTATAGTTATTTTTTTGACACACCTAATAATACTCTAGGGGCTGGGAGAACAGAGTTATTCCTAGCATTGCACTGAATGCCCTCTTAAAAAAGTAGGATGGTCTGATGCTTTCATAAGAGAAAATTCCTCAACGGTAGTTCTAATTTGAATGTTACAAAAAGCTTTATTTGAATGTTATTCACTAGTCAGGCAACAATTCAAACATTCCTGGTCAAAAACTGATGTTTGTAACTACAGAATTTCGAGTCAGAACTAGTGAAATGTTGGTTATTGAATGTTCTTTTCCCTCTTTCTAGACTAGTCTAAGGGCGACAACTCTAGTTGTATAAATACTGCGGGATTTAACACATTAGCCGTTCGTTAAAAAGAAGTAACCGAGGCTGGAGTACATCCTTTCTACCGTATTAGTTTCTAGTTTTTAAAAGCATTTTAATCCTCTGGGGAAATTTTTTTTTTAACACTAGGAGCACAAATTACACTCCAGTAATGTAAAACATGTGTGTAAAAGCGTGTACGTAAGGAAGCACCACCAGCTTGAGGGGAAGAAGCGAACACATCTGTGTTGTAGGGGATGTTGTTAGCCGCTACACACCCACACACTGGGGTAGATAGACAACTCATGGTGTGCTACATTCAAGAGTTACTAAACTCTGGGGCAGTTATAGATCTATGTTGATGAGAAACACCTTTTTAAAATGAATATGGTTATTAGCAGCGTGTATGTAGCACATTTTGCCGCGGTGTACTGAGCTGGCTATAAACCTGATGCCACATGTGTTGGTTATCATCATCTGTTGTCCGTTGTTTTAGTCAGCTGCTGTCCGTGTCAGGTTGTGTCCTCGTATGCTGACTTTTACCGACCAAGTTGACAAGTGTGGATGCTCTATATGTTTAAATGTTGTAAGCAGGCAGGTAATTCGATAGTTAAATGTTGTAGACAGACGCGTTACTCGTTGGTTACAAGTTGTATGGAGGCAGGTTACTTGTTAGTTATAAGCTGTAGGCAGACAGGCTACTTGTTATTTATAAATTGTAGGCAGACAGGTTACTTGTTAGTTATAAGCTGTAGGCAGGCAGGTTACTTAGTTACATTAAGTTGTGCCTTGTACGCTAAAATAAGTAGTTTTTGTAACTTAGCCTATAAAATGGAGCCAACATTAAG